CATTTTTTTTTTTTTGAGAAATAAATGTCTCTCCTCCCCTCCTCCCCCATGCCCCAATCTTTATATCACAGATTAGGAAATAGCTTCTATTAGTCTTTGTGGTGATAGTTGTATTTTGGAGATTGCATGCATTCTTCCTATTTGCTGCAGCTTGATTTAACAATTTGCAAATAGAATTTATAAATTGAATATCTTGGGGGTAAATATAATTACCTGATGAGATACATTAACTTTCTCAGTAAGAGATAACAGGTCTATTAGAGGCAAGTTGCAAATTATTACACTAACAATAAAGTAACTATGGATGACCTCAAGGACAGATGCAGCTGTGGAAAATCAGACCACCAGAAAGGTTTAGCTAGGGAAGCCCACAGATTGGACATGAATAGAATAGTTCAGGTATCTCTGAACAATTTTCTTGGCGGCAGAATGGAACCCATTTGTTAGTGCCTTATTCTGAGATGGCTTTGACTTCACAGTCTAGCCTAAAGCCCAGTATTCTCTTATGATCTTCTATCCAAGTATTAACCAACCCTGTTAGCTTAGAGACCCAGAGAACATCAACTTGAGGTTGCTGAGATGTAGCTCTTTAAAAATCAGTGATATACTCTACTTGAACCTTCAAATTCTTTATTTTTTTTTCTCTACTAGTATCAGTGGCAAAATGAATGAGATGTAGTAAAAGATAGAATGGAAAATTCATTTCATGTTTTATACCAGGGATCATATGTGATTACTTATTTCATTTTCTATGGTTTGTATAGGCTCTGGGATTTCTTTTCCTCAAGCAATAGGTTTGATTGCCTTATACACAGTGACCTTTTGCTACAGAACTTCTGCCTCTTCTGAAGGTTTCTATATTGCTCTCAAAAACACAAACAAAACAAAAACTTTCATCATCAGCTTTATTGGAACGGACCAAAAAAGTGAGGAGGAATAGCCTCATTTCATTTTTTTTCTGTTACATGCTGGCTGGATTAGATATTCTAGAAGTCCAATTTATCAGGAAGAAGCCTGATTGGCAAAGACTTGCTTAGGTTCATTTCCTTCCTTCCTTCCTTCCTTCCTTCCTTCCTTCCTTCCTTCCTTCCTTCCTATCTATCATCTTTCTATTATCTCCTGCCATTTTTATTCACAAACTGCATTTCACCCCCCCAATATACTGTATGCATATGTTTGTCTAGTATTCAATGCCAAAATAAATATAAAATTATAAAACGGGAAAATCTTGGGAGATTTTCCATTAAATAAAAGTTAGGTATTCTTGCTCAAAAATGGCACACCAAAAATCTCACAGATCATTTAATAATTGAAAAATAATTATTCTTATTTAATATTAGGGCTATCTAGGGGAGGTATCTGTATCTATCTGCCCTATGGGCAGCTTCTAAATTTGATAAATAAATTTTAAGATCCCATAGGCACTATTTTGCTAACTCTTACTTTATATGGTAGCACTCAAAATTGTCAGTGATAATATAATGGTCAGCACAAAGAAGATTTGGGAACCAATTTTCTAAAGCCTCTAATGTATAAATATTAAAAATCCCTCCAAGGAAAAAACACTATCAAAATGATGAAATAATTTTCCTTTGAGATATGGTATGTCAAAGTTAATATGTAAAACAGAAACAAAGTAAGGCATAAAGAAAAAAAAAACAGCAACCAACAGAATATTGCCATTGTTGTTTATTTGTTTATTTCCTTTGGCTGTTTCTCAAACAATGTTTGACAAAGAGTGAGTCTGACTTGAGTGCAAGTAAGAACCTGTATTAAGGAATACCTTGTGGCAATAAGGACAGTGAAATCTGCTTATTTCTTCATCATTGTTGTATAGTATTTACTGATAGTTACCTTGTGGCTCTGATTTGGATGATTCTGGATTCCTTGCAGGTTTGTCATAAGTATTTCACTAGACATCTTTTAGATGGTTCATGCTGGTTCTATGGAGATGATGGAGGTCAGTCTTGTCTGGTTATCTGATGGAATTTGATTTGATTACCCTTGAGGAAGTGAACAGGGTCCTTAGAATGCTGAATCCTGCCACCTGTGTGTTAGATCCATATCCTCCTAGATAATTAGAGTTTTCATCCATCCACCTTACATTTTGGAAAAGCTTGTGGAAAAGATGATATAGGCCTATGGCTTCAGAGATTGCTTGTCCCATTGCTGTCAGGGTTCATGCTTGAATAGAGCTCCAAGGCAATTGATTGAATTTGTGGATGATCTCTGACGGCTTGGGAAATATAAAGCAATCATGTTGTTGCTTCAGAAAGAAAAAATCCTAGACCTATACAAGCTACTGAAGAAGAAATAGCATATGAATCCTTAATACAAGCCATGAGATTCAATTCCCATTATGTCTAACTACAATTATATTAATTTTGCATATGACATGAAAGATTATCTATTTGTTTTTGTTTTTTTTAAAAAAAGAGTATTTGAATATGATTTTCTGATACAGGCAAAATGAATCAATTAAGGCAGGGAATTTGAAAAATTGCTTCTCTTCGTATAAAACATGACTATGAGTGGCAGGAGTTTTGAGGACTACAGTTTGGAGAATAAGTTTTAACCAGATTAGGTACAATAAAGCCCACCAGAGGCTCCACGTAGGGAAAATGCTAATAAAGTGTCCATTTGTTTTATATGGATGATCTGAAGCTTTAGAGTTAATCAGAAATTGAAATCCAGTTATTGACAAACACTTTAAGAATTTTTAGCACTGGAATTTGGGGTAAAATCACTATTAATAATTGATTTTAAATGCCAAGTGACCATTCCATTAGATACCATCCAGATGAAGCCTACACACAAATAGGCATTTTGGAGTTAAATAACATCAAACATGGACAAGCAAAGAATATATCCAAAGAGTTAAAAAGAGCTTTAAAAAAATTATTTAAGGCAAAAATGAATGATGGGAACACGATCAGTACCTTGCCCATACCTCTAATATTGAATAGTATATCCCCATAGTGATATTGCTAGATTACACTTACCCTGTAGAAATGGAGACAAAGGTTTATTTTATGTTAAACAAACTGTTGAAGAAGAAAATAATAAATTGGTTGATTATGTAAAAGACAGAGCAAACATTGATGCAAGTTAAAAATTGGAACTTACTGAATGCACGGGAAACAAAATATGAATACTAAAATAATGCAGTAAACCAAGAACAGAATACTGGCAAGGAAAAGAATTACATGGTAATTTTCTACAAAAGAAAGGGAAAGTGGATAAAGATAAAACCTGGCAATGGCTTACAACTGGAACATTCAAAAAAGAAACTGGAGGCTTGATTTTGGCTGCTCGTGAGCAAGCTATTGAACCAATTCAGTCAAGGCTAGATTTTTTAAAAATCATCAAATGATCCAAAGGGCAGATTATGCAAAGAAACAGAAGAAGAAATAAATCATATATTTGGCTTATTGCAAGAAGATTGCACAAACTAATTATAAACAATGACATAACCCAATTGCCAAAATGATCCACTGGAACATCTGTAAAATGTAATGAAAATTGGTAAGAATGTGTAGTTGAAAAAGTGGTTAAAAATGTGCAGGCTGTAATACAATATAACCTGATAAAGTCTTGGCTCATAACACACAAGATTTAAATGTGGTTGAAAAGAAGAATGTGTGGATAATTGACGTGGCAATGCTAGGGGATAGTAGTATAGAAGTATAGTGGTGTAGAACACAAAGAATTGGAGAAAGTCCCAAAGATCAGAAAATCAAAGTTGAAAGATTATGATGTAAACTGCCTATGGTGGCCCCATTTGCACACTGGATGAAAAATTCTTGGACAGCACTTAGAAAATCTGCATATTGACAAAGTTTCCTTCTGTCAATTGCAAAAGACCACACTGATGGAATCTGCACATATTTTATCTTGATACATTATGATCACTTAGGTGTTTTGGGAAGAACTTAATGCATATGAAAGCCAATATCACTCAAGAACTGATAGCTGTCATTTCACATTGTTATTTATATAATAATATATGCAAGAAGTCCTCAAATAACAACCATTCATTTAGTGACCATACAAAATTACAACAGCACTAAAAAAAGTGACTTATGACCGATTTTCACACTTGCGACCATTGTAGCATCCCCCTAGTCACGTGATCAAATTTCAGATGCTTGTCAACTGGCATGTATTTATAACAGTTGGACTCTCCAAGGATCATATGGTCATCATTTGTAACCTTCCCAACTGGCTTCCAATGAACAAAGTCAATGGGAGAAGCTATATTTGCTTAACAACTAATGATTCACTTAACTGCAGTGATTCATTTAACAACTATGGCAAAAAAAGATCATACAATGGGGCAAAACTCACTTAACAATTCCCTTGCCTAGCAATGGAAATTTTGGCCTCGGCTGTGGTAGTAAGTCAAGGACTACTTGTAATAATTTCTACATTTAAACATTGTAATGTCAGGGATCCTGAAGCTTCAGATATATGAATTTGAGGGCTTTGTGAGAACTGTAGATTTGCTATGTCAGGTTTTATAGGCTCTTCTTTATGTTCCTCCATCCATTTTGTCTTGGTCAAAACACAAAATAAAGTTTGATTTGTGGTCAGTTCTGGAATTTTCTTTCTAAGACTGGACTAAATTCTTCTATGTTTATTTTTAGGTGAATTATCAAAACTTTATTTCTTCTGACTTCTGAGTGGTTTTTTTTTTTTTTTTTTTAAAAATGACTTTGAAGTACTTAATTTTTGCAGTTTGCAAATACGTAAATAGTATTAGATTCTGTGTCGCCCTGGCTTCTCTGTGGCTGGAAAGATGATTCAGAAATAAATTTATAAATTAATTAATAATCCCTATGGATTCTCTATGAGTTTGTGAGTTTGTGAGAGCAGTGTTTATAATACTTCCACACACTACCATTTTGTGATATCCATATACTTCAATCAGCTTAAAGCATTTTGACAGTACTAAATTACACTAACATCATTGCTGTGTTAATGGCACCTTTCTCTTTCAGCAATGTTGTGATTGCTGCATGTTGGGGCAACAAGTAAAAAATGAGGGTCAAACCTGTGAGTCGAACCCAAATCTTGGCTATCCTTGCAACCATGTGATGCTTTCCTGTTGTGATGGAGAAGACCATCTTATTTCTCCAGAACTGAAGAGACAGCCTGAACCATTGTCAACAGTGACACCTGAAAAATGTAAGAGCATTGTTTGTTTGTTTGTTTGTTTGTTTGTTTGTTTGTTTGTTTGTCAACAAGTCCAAGGAAACAAGTAACAGTATAGACATAGACATGGACACATGAAAATTTTTTGACACAAATAAAAGGAAATAAATAAGCAAAACATAGCCATAAACACATAAAATGAGTACATATAAATGGGAACAGGAGGACAGAGACAGTAGGCACTCTGGTGCGCTTATGCACACCCCCTTAGGGACCTTTTTTTATTTATTTATTTGATTTATATGCCGCCCTTCTCCGAAGACTCAGGGCGGCTTACAATGCGCTAAGCAATAGCCTTCATTATTTTGTATATTTATACGAAGTCGGCTTATTGCCCCCACAACTGGGTCCTCAATTTACCTACCTTAGAAAGGATGGAAGGCTGAGTCAACCTTGAGCCTGGCGAGATTCGAACCTGCAGTAATTGCAGGCAGCTGGTCTTAATAACAGGATGCTTTAGACCACTGTACTACCAAGGCTCTTAAAAAACATGAAAGGTCCACAGTAGACAGTTTAAGGTAAAAGGTATGGGGATTAGAGAGACTAACAACAGGATTAGGTAGAGTGTTCCAGATGTTTACTACTCTATTGCAGAAGTCATATTTCCTACAATCAAGATTAGAGCGAATTACATTGAGTTTGACTCTATTGATAGCCCTTGTTTAAGTTTAAGTTTATTAAATTTCTATACCGCCCTTCTCCCGAGGGACTCAGGGCAGTGTACAGCCATATTAAAACACATGAATTTATAATATTTAAAACCAATTAAAATCAAATATATGAAATTTGCCCATCAATTTAAAGCATGCATACACCCATTGTGTTACTGCAGTTGTAATTAAAGTACTCATTTACAGGTAGGATGTTTTGGTAAATAATCTTATGAACTAACCTTAGGTTGGAACGTAGATGGCCTAGTTTGAGGCTATCGAGGCCTAAAATTTCAAGCCTGGTGGTATAGGGAATTTTATTTCGAGCAGAGGATTTGAGTACTTTTCTAGTAAAATATCTCTGGACCCTCTCTAATGTATTGATGTCTGAAATACAGTGAGGGTTCCAGGCAAGTGAGTAGTATTCAAGGAGAGATGCCATTGCTGTTGACAAAGACTGAACTGAAAAAATGTTGAAGAGATTAGTTTTAATGGCATCATCATTACAATCTTCACCATTTGGCCCTTTTAGAGGTGGGATGGTTTTTGAGTCTTTACATTTGGCTGCATTACATTATTGTCTACAATAGGGGAAGGCAATTAATTTTTTCAACAGGCTACATGAGAAACTGGGACTATTGTGGAGGGCTAAACCAATAGGCTGAAATTGGCACCCATATGTTGAGGGAGGAGGAAATGAGGAGCCTCACCTCACTTCACCTCACCTCAGCCTGACTGCTGTTGTTCTACTGCAGATGCAGAAAAGTTCTCCCCTCCCCCCCACCATTAAAAATAGACAAACCTGAAGGTACACAAAATACTGCATTTGTTACCAAAGCAACCTGTTTTCTTTTTGGCAAATCAGATCCCAGAAATACAGGTGACTTTTAACTTCTATAGCAACATTTCTTTGTGAAAAATTTGATTCTGTTTCTATTTCTTCTAAATGGTTTTTGAAAGACACTTATGGAGAAGTCAGCAAGTTTTTAACAAAAAAGTCAGGGCAATGTATATAATCCTATTTGTTTCATTATGCAATTGTTATCCTATATCATGTGCTGCCCATATATACTAGGGAGTTTGCTGAGGTTGGATTCTTCTGAAATCAAAGAGATATTAAAACATATAAATATATACAGTAGGTATTATGTGATAGAGATGGTTCCATATTTGATATGGAGACTTCTACATAAAGAATGCTTACTTAAATAAAGTTCATGATTTTCCTTTCGTAGAGTATATACTGTATTATTTGGAGTATAAGATGCACCTTTTTCCCCCCAAAAAGAGGGTGAAAATCTGGGTGCATTTTATACTCCGAATGTAGCCGCACCCAGCCTCTCAAATGGGTTCTGAAGCCTCTGAAACTGAACTTCAGAAAAAAAGCTTCTGAAAAAAAGCTTCAGAAAAAAAGCCTCTGAAATGGAGGTTCAGAAAAAAAACCTCTGAATTGGAGGTTTCAGAGGCTGAAAAAGCAAGGCGCAGAGCTCACAACCAACGAACCTGTTGCTAAAGTTCACCTCTGGGAACAGCTGATTGGGGGTATTCTGGGAGGCCAATCTACCCGCCAATCAGCTTATTTTTCTTATTTTCTTCCCCAAAAACTAAGGTGCATCTTATACTCTGGTGCGTCTTATAGTCTGAAAAATATGGATACATCAAATGGAAAAAAATCTTGATAAAGGCAAGATATTTGCACCTCTCTTTTTCAAGATATTTATTAGCAAATGGCAGTTTTGAATTTTATAACAAAATCATTAAGAACAGAAACACATCTTTTAAAAAAAGAAGCAACCTTCCAAAGAAGACAGTAGGTACGCCCTGGACTTTTTCATTATTAATTAGAAAATTATGCAGGTGAATGCATAATCGAAAAGAGTTTTAAAGTTGAAGTGTACCTTATAGCCATGCATGATATACTTTTCTTGTTAAACAGAAAGATGTTCAATTAGTTTGTAAAGCTAGATACTATAAAAACATATATCCAATGTGCTCAGATATAATAGTATTTTTAAAAAGTTCTTAATCTATTTTACTACACTGAATGTAGGGAAAAACCTATCATAGGACAGATATGGATAGTATAATTTTTATAGTGTAGTCACTAACATGGAATTAATAGAGCAGGACAATATAATATTTTAAAGTGTCATTTTTATCATAAAATGAATCTAAATTTAAGAAACACGCTTTCCTTGGTACAGTTGAAAGAAGAAAGGGGGATTCTGCATAACATCCATCACTTATGGATGGTGATCCTATTACAGAAGAAGACCATAGCACCATATTGGCATGCTGGGTGTATCAAATTATTTTCCCCACTTTGAAGATGCTATAATACATGATCCATCTGGCTTTTAGACTCAGTGGCCGGCATTTCACCAGTATAGTAATTTTGTTACATGGCTAAAACATAGCCATAGAAGTTCTTATGAAGTCAATAGAACCTTCAAAGTAGACCCTCTCGGGCTGTTCTCAGTTGAGAAATAACTATTATTTCTAGTAACTGCAGCCAATTTCTTTCCTGACTGGACATAGCAACAATTGCATACAAATAAAGAATACATATTTGGCATCTTTTAATTACTCAATCCATGGGGGAAATACACATTTGCCTTATGTGTGGATCTGAGTCACCAATGGATTATTTCTGGGTTTAATAAGTGGAAAGATGTCATTATTTTGTGTCAAATTACATCCGCTATGATAAATGATAGATGTAGTCTTTTCAATAGTTACAACAGAAGATTGGAACATGCCCATTTTTCCTATAGAGATTATATGGGTATAATTAAATTATTTTACATGAATGTTCCATAAATTATATTTCTAGAGGTAGACAATAATTAATGAAGTACATTATTGTTTTTGACATTTAATTACGTTTTAAATAAAACAGGACCCAGTCATGTAATATAGAAAAATCTATTCCAGAAATAATGTTGTAGAAAGAATTATGCATTTCATTTTTTAAAGAGAGTGAGCTAGCATATAGAAAATCTGGAAGGCTTAAAATAAAGTTACTTTAAATGTGTGTGTCATTTTCATGGTAAATATACCTACTAACAAAATAAGCTCCTAAATGAATGTGATGAAATTCAAGAAAAGGGAGTCACTTATGCTATGGAAAATCAAAGGTACATGAAAGAAAAATAGAGCTATTGCAGTTTGGAAAGAAACAACAGCTATGCTGAAGTTTTTTTTCTTTTACATACCAGACTTGGTGGATTAACTATAAATAGGCATTTGCACATTGTCTGAAAACCAAAAATTAAAGGGAAATACTGAAATATCTGCATGTACTACATATGGAGTATTTTGAGAATTTAAGTTAGTATTGACTCCTGGCAATTGTATGAATGAGTCCTGGCAATTTTCTTGACAAGATTTTTTAAAAATAGTTTGCCATTGCATCCTTCCTAGAGCTGAGAGAAAGTGACTGGCCTAAAGTCCACACACACACCCCGCCCCCAAACTGGCTTTGTGTCTAAGGTGGGAATGGAAATCTCTGTCTCTAGACCAGTGCTTTAACCACTGCACCAAGCTGACTTTTATATGGAGTATGGTGGGAAGAATTTCATCCTTAGTTATTTCTCATTTCCTCTATGCATGCACTATTTTGATTCCTATATCATTGTCCCTCAAATTAAGGGATAATCCAAAAAACCATATGACCTGCACAGAGGAATTGCATCTAGGGAGAGAGAAACATTTGGTTGGCAGTCATCCAGAACTTTGTGGGAGCTATTTGAAGTGAAAAGGTACAGCTAAGGAGTAGGCTCCTATAGAAACTGGATAGAAATCTGAGCAGAAATGACTTTTGCTATAATGTCATTTTAAGCCAAGACATGATATATCATTGAATCGAGACAGGTATCCAAATTCCAAGAAACAAGATTTCATTGGATTCCTCTTGCTTCAACTTTCTTTTAAAATATATTGAATATTTTTTATCCCAGTCTCAAAAAGTTCATTTTTCCCTCAAAGCTTCTATTTTTTTCATATAATTAACTATGAAATTTAAGAAACACCACAAACCAAAAGCACAACCAACAAAAAAGTAGAGCTGTAAAAGTATTCAAGCATGAATTCCATTAGGAGTAAATTTAGCTGTTCAGTTTCCACTGGACTTCTCAGTGGCTTAGATGTTTGCATCAAATGAAATCTGATAGGGTTCATCTTTCCCTAATTAAAAATCTGCAAACACTCTCCAATTAAATGAAACTGAACTAAATTAAATTAAATTAAAACATGGTAATTGAAAGTTGCACGCAAACAGCAGCCATTGTGTATTTTTAAAAGCTAAGATAGTAAAAGACTATTGGCTGAAAGTATGAACTGTGATCTATATTGTGATTGCTTATCTGGAATTGAGTCCAGATACCTACATGGATAAGTTCAGAATCCTTTTGCTGGTTCACCAGCAAATGGAACTTGCCTAGATTCGAAGTAATGAGAAACAGGACCTTTTTGTTAGCTGTGTCATATTTGCCCTGGGATGCCTTGTCCTTATACCAAAAATACAAGAATTATTTTGATTCTGTTGCTTATTGCTTATTAATATTGCTTACTGCTTTGATTTATTCAATGTTTGGGGGGTGACTGATGGTGGAGTTTACGCTCTAGGCAAAAATACTCCTTTGTGGGTTGTTTTGGGTAAATGGTGGTCTAGAAAAATTAGTAAGTTGTCATGTTACTCAATTTTTTTTAAAAAAAAAAAGATTGTTTTTCTGTTTCTAATAATAAGCCAGGTAGTTTTTGACATGAAGTCATAAGAATGACTTTTGAGCAGAGGGAACAGTGCTAGATTAACCTTCGGTTTTTATGGGTGGGTCCCTCTATTTCATATTCTTCATGATTTGAGCAAACTTTTTTTTTAAAAAATCAGAGCTTTATCTGCTTTCGTTATTTCCACCAGCAGTTCTGTCTTAGCTCATGTCATCTACACTAATTACTTTCTTGACCAATGAAGACAGAAGTTGTATTACAACACATCTAGATTACATCAGTTCAGGGTAGTGTGATATAAAAGCTTTAAAAGAAAGCATCACTTTTTTTATGTCAGAGACAACCTGAAGCTCCAAGGCTTTTTGCTATCTTTGAAAACTTTGGGGCTCCTCTTAGAAGTATCACAAAACTATACTTCTTAGTGAGACAGAAATGTAAAATTATGAATATGCGATAAAGAGTAATCATTATATTTTTTGATAAATAAAATTGAGTATACTCCCCGGTATACTAATCATAGACCAAATGCAGCTACCCACCATCTGGAAAAAATTGTGAACCTTTCCATGACACCCTTGCATACGCATGTACACATGGATAGGAACACAAACACAAAACAGCTGTGAGTTCTTATCATTTATAAACTCACTTGTTTTAAATCTGAAAAGCAAAAGTACAATCAGCTCAATCAGAAGATGGTGAAATTTCTATGGGCCACTGCCTGTTGTGTATGACCAGAGGAAAATCAATTTTCCTTCTTCCGTTTGCCCTCTGTATTTGCTGGCCAAATGAACTGTGTACTTAGAACTGAAGCAATTGCTTTTAATCAATGGGCGTTTTAAAGTTCAGCTCTCCTCTCTGAGTTTTTCCTCCTGCCGGTTTACTAGATCAATAATGCTTACCCTTTAGTTTCCCTTCCCCCTCCAACTCATAGCAATGAAAACAGAAGAGCTAATTTATCCCATGTGTTAATGTTTCGGCATGTTTTGAGCTTGTCCAGAGCTTGCAAGCTTGTAACCTGAACTTGAAAAAAAAAAGATGTTTACCATTAAAAGCAAAACTTTTTTTCCTCCATATATATTTCATTTTTTCTGTTCTGCCTCTGTTGCAAGTGAAGCTAATTTTGGAAATCACTGTTACATGTTATATAATTCATTGAATATGAACCTTTTTTTTTTTACAAACTGACCTCTGCTTTGTGATTATCTTAATAATCTTTATTTGTAAACCATGGTGCAGGTGGTGTAGAAATTTGATGGCTCTCTAGCTCTCTAGTTAGATGGATAGATAGATGACAGATAGATAAAGTTGTTCTGTATGCATAAAACCTCTGACCTCTTGCAAATCTTAATTCATGCGTCAGTGTCTTATCCTACACCTTTGCCTATCATGTAGCATTTTTGCAATATGGGGTGCCACAAATAAGAACTCTTGGGATCCATCACTTGGCTGTCTAGCAGGCATCCTGCATCCTTCTTATCCTCTGCAGGCTTATATGGGTAGGCTCAGTAAGATAAAATGACAGGGCTGACAGTGATTATTTGCCTTGGGAGTGGGGGCATTGTCAAGGAAAAAGCTGCCCCAGGGCACTCAGGAGGAGGCAAGAGCTGTTGACAAGAATCTTCAACTGGATGAAGATCAAATTATCTATGCCCATTGAGAATCCCCTGTCATCTGTAGTACTGTGTCCATTATTATTCAGAGGTATCTTAAACCATCCTGTAGAAGAAGTTATTTTTTTGTTATCATAGTCCCCTACACATAGTCATATAATATGCATAGACTGTTTTCCATGAATTCTCATCTCAGTTGATGACTAAGGAATGTTGTCAGTGACAGAGAGAGAGGATCGCCATGAAGCCTTGTCAATTAGTCATGAAGCTGAAATGTCAAACAGCCTGCCTGGGGATGACCAGGATGAGTGCCTTGCCTATCCAGGAGAGCTTTGTCAACACCTCTGCATCAACACTGTGGGGTCCTACAAGTGCTCATGTTTCCCAAGCTTTACTTTGCAAGATGATGGACTCAGCTGCAATCCAGGTGAGAATATAAACCCAGGTAAGAATATGTATGTTGGACCTAACTATAACAACATTACTAGTTAGTGTTCCTTCATTAATGAAGTACCCGTTTGTTTTTAAACATATTCATAACTTAGCGACTTAAGTATTTGGTGAACTTTGATCCTCAACATTTTTTTGTTTGTGTGTTTTATCACTTTTATCTTTGCTCTTACAAAGATGAGATATTACATAATGCTTCAAATATCACAGGTAGCCCTCAACTTACAACAGTCAGAAGCTGGCTGGGAGACTTGCATATGGCAATAAACACATACTGGTCATAAATACATGCCAATTGCCAAATGCTGTAATTTTGATCATGTGACCATGGGTATGCTGCTAAATGATCAGTCATAGGTTCCTTTTTTCAGTGCTTTTGCAATTTTGAATGGTCACTAAACAAATGGTTGTTAAGCGGAGGACTACCTGTATATCTTCCAAATTTAATTCACATTTATAGATATTTCCAATGTTCTAAATGTAAATCCAGTGGCAGGATTCAGCAAGTTCGCACCTATTCAGGAGAACCAGTTGTTAACTTTCTAAGCAGTTCGGAGAACTGGTTGTTGGAATAAATCTTATTTTGTTTTTTTTCCACTTTACAGGGCTAATCCTGTAAGGAAGGCAGGAAGGAAACATTCTGGTGTTGTTTCTAGCCTAATCTTTATTGCCCTGCTTACAGAAACTGCCTCTCTGGTTAACCCTTATTACATTGTAACAGCTAAGGTGAAGCACCCATCAATGTCAACGATGTTGAGCTGGCCACATCCACACAGTCACATGACCACCGAGCCACGCCTACCAGCTGATCATTAGGGCAGAGAACCAGTTGTTAAATTATTAGAATCCCACCACTGTGTAAATCTTTATAAATCCTACCTTTATACATCTTATCTTTATAAAGTAGAATAAGTAGATAGTTCACTTTCTGCACTGTGAGGCACAAATTATCAGTTTTCCCCTTCTGAGTGTTTCTGATTTTTTTTTTTTTAAGGAAAAAACTGCATGACAATTTGTATTTTCAATTTGTCAAGCCTCATAATATTTATATGCTTTTCCTAATACAAATAGTTTTACAAGCAGCTTCCTGCAATAATATATTTTATAGTGTATGGTATTTTGTATAACTTATGCATAACTTTACATATCTTTTTAAAACTATATATTTTATATATGCTTTAAAAATCAGAGATCTACATTTCAAAAGCTGTAGAAGTACAAGAGCAAATTATAACTGCATTCTGGTTTATGTTGTAATTTGCAGGATGCAAATTGGGTAGATAAATATTAAAATGAGAACCAAGTAAAATTCTCCCCCAACCCTGCTGAAAGTATGCAAATAATCACATTGGTTAAAAGGTAAAGTCCAAAACACATGAGCATTTCCAGGACAACTATCAGGCTTATATATAAGCTGATAAAGAGTTTAAATTGACACTTTTTTAAAAAAAAATGATTTATATGCCGCCCTTCTCCGGAGACTCAGGGCGGCTTACAATGCGCTAAGCAATAGCCTTCATCCTTTTGTATATTTATACAAAGTCAGCTTATTGCCCCCACAACTGGGTCCTCAATTTACCTACCTTAGAAAGGATGGAAGGCTGAGTCAACCTTGAGCCTGGCGAGATTCGAACCTGCAGTAATTGCAGGCAGCTGGTCTTAATAACAGGGTGCTTTAGACCACTGTACTACCAAGGCTCTTCAAATGTCTTTTTTCCGTCTTCTCCCAACTAATAGAGAAATAAACACAGCATATGTCATGAGATTATTGAATTGTGCATTAGTAATCTCAGCTAAGCATCATCGTACTGCTTCAGTATGGTACTCCACTGAACATGGAAAGTAAAAAAGGGGGAAAGAAACATGGAAATGGAAGAACTATATATTTCATGTAGTCTAGGTCTGCAAATGGATTAGTTTCTTTTGAGTTTTTCTGTTAGTAAATAGCACAAGGAGAAAGGAGGTATTAAAAATGCTATGGAGTGAATCAGAGATTCTATTCAGAGTCAATCAGAACCTAACCAAACCATATTTAAGCTTAGCATGTTGAACAGATTCTATCCCATGAATATATTGAGCACAAACACAAACCCTCAAAATTAACCCAGTAGAAATAGTTAAGGGTAAGAGAATCCTTACTTATGAAGTCACTTGTGCAAATACTGTTGAAAAGTAGAATCCACCTGAAAACTCTGTACCTTGTTCAATGCAATGATTTCAATCCTTTTTCAGAGAAGAGAAGAAAATATAGGAAAGTACTATCTTAAACCTCTGCTTTCCTTCCACTTAATTTGTAGAGATGGGATAGAATGGTAAAAATAAGATGCAACACATGGCTAACAGACTGTCCATTTTGCACTGAATCAAAATCTTGCTAATTATTCTTCACTTTTCCAATTTTGTGCAAATACAATTCTAGCTGCAGTTAATATTCCTAATGTAATGTCTTTGAAAGGAATCATGTATTTTATTTTTCTGATACCACAAGAAGACATGCCAGCTCAATTGCAAATCATGCCTCTCCAAAGTCAATAGTCTTATATGCCTCAATACAATCCATTCTTTCACCCATGTGAGTACCGCAGTACAATTCCCAATTGGGTAGCCCAAAGCCTCCTCTATTTCTCGAATCCTGCAACATTTTTAGGTTTATTCTGGCTTTTTTTCCCTTGCCAGATATATTTTAATATTACATTATTGAGTTCCTTGAAATATTTTTCCCCAATTTTATCAGAATTGTTTGAAATAGGTATAATATTCTCGGTAATATAGTAGTTAACAGAGGAATGGAAAAATCCAAAGCTATCACCACCATGTATAACCTGTTTATTCATCCCCTGTTGTGCTATGCTAACCCCACACTTCATTCCTCCAGTTTTATCAGTGTTGGGAGCTATAAGAAGGACCTGCAGTGGGAGCCTCCCCAATTACTTGACTCATCCAGCAGCAGATACCAAACCAAGTGGACAAAGTTTGCAAAAAAAAAAAAAAGTAGAAGAGGTCCTGGGCTTGACCTGCCTGGAACAGGAATGTACTTAACACAGTGTGTCACCTCCATTTGGAAAAGGCGGGGAATGACACTAATTGCAAGAACCTTGATTTTGGGAGGATCACATTGGGCAGATTGGAGGAGCAGCAGAAGGTGTTGCTCCAAGCACAAAGTCTATTAAAGGACCGCCCCACCCCTAGCTATGTGTTCTAACAGTGATTCAGTTTTGTATGGCTTTTGCTTTGCTCCTGCTCTGCCTGGACAGCTAACAGAGGGACCCCATCTAACAGCAGGAGTCCTACTAAAGATATGATCTGATATGATCTTTTATTCTGTGAACTTTTATTCACTGGGGTATGTCAGATCATTTCTTATGGTTAGAATGGCATGGCAGACAAAGTTTGGGAACTCTTGGTCTTTCCTATCTGTAAAAAAATTGGAGAACATTAGATGGTAGCAGGAGGTTAGAGTTCTTTGTATCTCTTTGTTCCCATCAATATTTTGGCATTCCAGTTCTGATTGTCCTAGCACAAACAGCAAAATGGTCTTTGGCACAGGTTGATGCTGTGAATGGAGACTGTCCAAGAAAATTGATTGTTCTTAAATTGTTTCAATGGGACTTGCACAAGACTGTTTCCCACTATAGTAATATTCATTTTTATTGTAGCTATTCTTTTAAGATGATGTTGGATAACCATTTGTCTGAAGTGGTGTAGGTTTTCCTGCGTGGGCAGGTGGTTGGACTAGAAGATCTCCAAGGTCCCTTCCAACTCTGTTATTCTATTCTATTCTATTCTATTCTATTCTATTCTATTCTATTCTATTCTATTCTATTCTATTCTATTCTATTCTATTCTATTCTATTCTATTCCTATCAGTGATAATTGCAGATTTTTCCATTTCTCCAAATCTGCTTTAATTTGTTGCATCAATTTATAATAATTATCTTCCTTAATAGTTACACATCTTGCGGTCAGATTTAGTTTTTATTCTGGAAGATCCAGAAGTAGCAGGATTGAAATTAAATAAAGAGCAAACTAAGATATTAGTTAAAAATGTTACAGACATGCAGAAAAAAGAGTTAATGAAGAGAATAGTTATCCAGATTACTAAGAAAGTAAAATTCTTAGGGTGTCAACTCATAAAGCATTCCAGGCATCCGTCGGAACCCTGACATAGGGATCTATCTGACAGCAAGATGTGTAACTATTAAGGAAGATAATGCCTGTAGTTTATATTTTTCCTTTTTTATTTCCATACCTTTTATCTCAATATCTTGTCTAATATTTCTGTTTAATATTCCCAGTGTCAATATGAATAATAGGGGAGACAAGGGGCATCCTTGTCTTGTACCTTTTTAAATGTTAACCTTCTCAGTCATATCTCCATTTACCTTCAACTTTGCTGTTTGCTTATAATACAGTGCCTTAATAAATCTCTCCCCCAAATCCATATCTTTTGATTGTGCTAGCATAAATTGCCATTTCACATTGTCAAATGCTTTCTGTGCATCTAGAAAAACATTTGGTTCCCTGGATATGCTTCGTAGTACTCCAGTGTATTTAAAATTATTCTCATATTGTCTTTAATTTGTCTCTTTGGTAAAAATCCATTTTGTTCTGAATGTATAAATTGATTTAGGAACCTTTTTAGTCTTTCTGCAATTATTGAGGCATATATTTTATAGTCAGCATTCAATAAGGATATCAGTCTGTAGTTTTTTATCTGTTGTAAGTCTGAAACTTCTTTCAGTATGAGAGTGATATATTCTTGTTCACATTTCCAACATAAATTTGAAGTGCCTTTATACACTAGACAATTTCTCTAGTGATATGTATCAATGTCCTTTGCATCTTGTAACATCTGGTATTTAACTCATGGTTTTTTTCCCTTGCCATACAAACTTAGATATATCCTTTTGTCACTGTCTAAATCATAGAAATTATCCCCAGCAAATGACAGTTGTAGTTTCTCCCATCTTAACATTTTAATTTCATTCCATCTCTTACCATAGTTATTTTGAAATAGCACAACAATTAGAGTTGGATATGACTGGACAGGGGAAACATTTACCTTTTAAAATATTTGTCATGGTGATACTTGCCTATTTTATTTTCTTCTCCATCTGAAAACCTGTTTTATTCAACATTCTGTTCAATTCCTTATTTTCATATTTTTGTTAAAATGTTCATTTTTTTGTTTATAAATTTTAAAACCAGCTGGTGTACCAACTTCTTTTAATTTTCCCTTTAATGTTCCAATTTCCCTTAAAGGATCTTCCAAAATCAAGACCAAGTCATCTGCAAGAGCCCTTGACTTATAAATTTATTTTTAAATCTTTACTCCCATATCCCACTTCTTTTCTTATATTTAATATTTCAAGGATCAAAATGAACAAGAGATGAGACAGTAGGCATCCTGTCTTATTTCTTTGTGTATCTCACAAGGTGGGAGAGTTTAATTACTATGTTTCCCAATAAACTATAGAGTTATTTGTATATTCCAAAGAAAACCTTTTTTGGAAATATAAAGATATAACAGAATGTAATTAAAATATTTCTGTAATATATACTTTTTTAGATTTTGAAGATGATGCACAAAATACTGCCTTAGAGGAGAAAGCCACTCCAGCTCCAGAAGCTTTAAATATTCAACCTGCAACCAACAACACTTTACAAGTAGAACAAGATAAATGTAAAGGTATGTCTAATTGAGAACAGGAGATAAGTATTATCTATCTACCCTGTTTCCCCAAAATAAGACATCCCCTGATAATAAGCCCAATCAGGCTTTTGAGCGCATGGCAATAAGGCTGAGCACTTATTTCAGGGTTCAAAGAAATATAAGACAGGGTCTTATTTTGGGGAAAACATGGTATCTATCTATCTATCTATCTATCTATCTATCTATCTATCTATCTATCATCTCTCTATCATCTAATTTACTGTACATAGCCACCCATTTCATAGAACAAGCAACTCTATATATTGTTTTTCATGTGTTTGAAAATCATTAAAAGCTTCCTTGGCCATTTTTATTTCAATGCTAGTCCAAACAGCTTCCAGTAGGTTGACAAAAAAGGAAGAAAGAAGCTCATAGGATAATGTGCTGCATAATTGGAGGTTAACTTGAAAACTCAAGGTTATTTAATATTAGCTGTTTAGAGTTGTTTGTGCAACACAGCTGTGTGTAGTAATTTCAGCCTCATAAATAAGCTTAGCTCAGGTGTGCTTACCAAAAAAGAAAGATTCTAAAGAATGATTCAGCATATGAGGGTATGTGGTTTATTTGCATATTTTCTTTCTGAGGTGATGACCAGGATATAATTATAATATAAAAGGAATTCACTTTAATTGTTTTTAACGTGTTTTGAAATATTGTGTTTCCCAGATAATGGTCCCTGCAAACACATTTGTAATATGGTGGAAGGGGAAATTGTATGTTCTTGTTCACTTGGCTTTGTCCTCCTGTCAGATGGTGTTTCCTGTGAAGGTAAGTTTGTTGAAATCAAAATCCTTACTTCTCAGTTCTACCTACTGAAGGAACTTTAGACACTGTCAGAATGGTTCTATTATTTTATTTACTCGAAAAGATAAATATCCCTATAGAGCTTACATATTATATCTCTAAATCAGTTGTTGGTCTATTTGTTTTACAAATAGTTGTAAAACAATTCAAGCATATGCTTTATCTTCACTTACAATTCTCTGGATGCATTGCATATTCTAACTGGTCACACTATGAAAGTTAGTTCCTTCACTGGGCAAAATATTCAATTCAATTTTGCATAATTTGTAGGGTGCTTCCATATGGCCGTCTCCTAGCATACCTCATGGAAAGGCAAGAAACACTTATTCCATGTATCTGTCCTTAATGGATATTTGTAATAAGAAAACATGGGAAGGTTTCAGTTGCAAGAAAGGGTTAATTAAACTCCTCTTTGAATGGGCAGGTTTCATCTTCTTAAAAGCCTGTGGAAGAGCTACTTTTCATCTTCACTCCTAACCTATCCGTACATGGGATTTGGCTATAAATGTACTGAAAATGTAAAATATGACATTAAAATCAATGTAATATTGTACTTCTGCTAAAGTTTCTTCTTGGTAATTCTTTGGAACAGCAACACTCCCACCAACACTCATAGGGCAAGCTACTATATATAAACAGATAGCAAACCCCACTCCCTTTTAGCACATGTAATGTTACCCAGTTTGGTAATGAAACATCTGCAAAAAAAAATCCCCAACAACATCCAAGCGGTTTTATTTACACAATTTTACTTTTCCTGCTTTTAATGTTAAAAGTGTACATATCCATAGATACATTATAAAACTTGGACTAACTTTGTGGTACTTTAACTCTTGTTCTGACAGTTTAATAGTATTAGTAAAATCTCATAACATTTCTGGCTTATGTTAACATTATTGGTGTTCTTGGTTTATGGCTCTGTGCTACAAGGTAATTTTGAAATGTGGAAATAGTTCCTATATTGTATTGTTATTTATTACATTATCCTGCTTTTCAGCCAATGAAGCTCAGTGTAGCAGATAGCTAATACCAGTATGATTCCTGCTGCAGGGTGGGAGAATCGGTGTACTTGTTATGTCAACGAAAGCTATTATACATTTCCTTGGTGTAGAAACTGTTTGCATTTAGCATCAGTATACTGGTTGTCTATAATTTTGGTTCTGGTGACCGAATAACAAAAGGAAGTAGTTAGTCAGGCTTTTAGGCAATAGCAAATGTGAACCATTGGCTCTGGACTGCAAATAATTTAGGCCAACCCAAGAGAGGCAATAGACCTGCAAGTGTCTGGAGAAATTAAGTTCTTAAAGAACACTGAGATCCCAAAGGGTTGTTCTTTCCTTGACCATTCCATTTGCTTTCAGTAATTAACAAAACCCTCAGATGGAATTCCTGTTAATAGGAGGCATTTCTATGCAGGCGTAATTGAGTTGCCAACTGTGAGCAAAATTTATAGATGGAAGGAGGGAGTTAGCCTATTTTAAGATTTGTAAACTGGATTTTATTTTTTTGCCCCATACGTTTTTGGGCCATTGCTTCTGTGAAGTGCAAGAATGAAATTCTACATATTGCCTAAAGAGCAACGTAATTGTCTTTCTTCCATTCCATGCCCCATTTTGCCCTATAGGTGGTTGCTTGCAAGAGACTTCTAAAATCTCCAGGGCAGGACTTTGCTAGGGTTTTGCTAGGGCAGGACTTCTTTGCCTGGCCACTTCGTTTCCCAAACCAGGACTGGAAAGAAGCTAATGACGATCAGCCTTGATGTCCATTTATCCCATTAAAGAGTAACACACGCGAATTGGTACAAAACAACTATAGGATTTTTATTCTCCACAATCTTTCTGATTGGCACTTGTCCACTTCTTGGGCAGTGCAAGTTCAGGTATTTAGAGCTTCTTTCAATCTAGAGCCTGACATTATCTATTAAGAATGAACTTCAAGCAAGAATACATAGTTCATAGTAATGGTTTTCTCCAAAAAAACAGGGCAAGCAAAGTAGCCCAAATATGCATGAGCAAGGTGTGCTTTTATAAAGATTGGATCAGGGTACTAAAGGGTGTACTTTTCACATATCAAAAGAGAAAGCCAAATGGCAACCACAGACTACAACTGATCTAAGTAAAGAGGTCTTGAAGCAACCACTCTCATTTGCATGATACTCTGTGTACATGAGGAACTTTACCATCTTACTGGATAGTTTACAGGGAATGTGTTCTTCACATTAATAGTTAAACTACCTTCCCCACATCCTTCTTTTTAGTTTTAATTTAACATGTGATAGGCTTCCTATATTTGTGACAAATCACATTATTGTGTGTTTACCTCTGTTGTGTGTGTTGTGTGGCACATGGAATACATTTGTTATTCTACAGCCTTATTTAATTTTTTTGGTGTGTAGTAAACCACAAATGGATGATGTGTACTAATAATAGTCCAAGTTGCTGTCACAGACTCATGTCTCCATAATTCATCATTTTAGAAGTGTATTGTTCTTTCCTTTTTCTGGGTTAAATTGTTAAAAGATTTAAATTCTAGTAACATTCACTAATAGATTTATTGAATTTCTGATTTACTGAATTTCTGATTGAAGCAAATCTGTTGGAAAAGTCATCCTCTCTTTGTGCAATATATAAATATCTCTTTTGCATCCTTAGAATGCTTGTAAGCATTCAAAGGACTCATCCTTTGAATAAGTCCTTGCTATGGGATTTTTGGAAGCTTTGGGTATACCATAGATAACCATTCATTCTGTAGGGTTGTGTTTGCAGGTGTCCCTGTGTGTTCTATATCATTCTGCTCAAATGATATAGAACAAAGCACCCTATTGACTTCTCTTTGTGAGATTCATTCACATTTTTTGGGAAAATACTGTGGTTTGAGGCAGACGATACATTATGCTTACAGAAGACTGCAAGAGCTAAGAGACAGGTAAAGTGGTGGAGCTTTGTCTAAGAATCTGAAGAAATGTTGCTAGTCCAAGAGCCCAGCTAGATCAGAGTTTTTCAACCTTGGCATCTTTATCTATGGACTTCGGTTCCCAAAATCTGGGAACTGACATCCACATATCTTAAAGTTGCCAAAGTAGAGAAACTCAGAGCTAAATAAACAAAGGTTCTGATGTTTGGCATAGGCAGTAGGCACTATTAATTCTGGAAAGTGTCAAGTGAAATTTGTTTATTTGTTTGCTTATAAGATTTCTGTCCTATATTTCCTTCAGGAGATGCTTTCAAGTTTACATATGCCTCTCCTATTAAACCTATCATTCTATCTACTGTAACTGAAGAATAGTCAGTTGATATATAAAGCAAAAGAAATAACTGCAGAGGTTTGATCCTTTGATCCATCTAGCCTAACACCTTTCTACAGTAAGTTTCTCTTTAAGTGAGAATTCAGAGTGGACTCAAAGCACATCTTTCTATCACCATATTCTGGAGTCACCAGAGTAAAGTTGTTTGCTTACCACCTCATCGTTAACCATGTATGTTGCAAATGTATGTGTGACAGAATGGTTCGGCTAGAACATGACAACATTAATTCCTCCATATGAGATAGTTTCAAAGAAATGATAGGGACAGTTTTGTTCTGGACTGCAATGTACTTATTGCAGAAAACTACCTGTACAACATATTTCTACCCCTTTCCCAATCTATAAGAAGTGAACTGAGAGGAACCAGCAGTGATAAAAAAAACTTTAGGAAAGTGCAAATATGTTAAAATTGGCCAAGAATTGATTCCAGAATATGCAGTGGAAAAGCTTAGTATGAGTCTATCTCTAATCCATAATTGAATAGAACCCATTAGAGAAAGTGAAATAAATATGTGTAAGAGATTCCTGCAAGTACTCAGAAACAGTTTCATTGATATTTCTCTTGATTACCCAGATGTTTATAGGGTGCAGTGTTTAAAGGATGCAGAGTGGGTCTTAGAAAAACTATTTATTTAATATCTAAGAAGGATCAATTTAAAATCTCTGCTCGGGTTTCAAAATATTAGCAGAACTATTAGTTAATTTATAGAAAGGAATATGGGAGATTTATCATAGAATCTTAAAGTTGGAAGGGCCTAAGAGGTCCAACCCAGTTCTGGCACCTTGTGAAACTTATTACACCATCTCCAATAGATTATTATCTAGCCTCTGTTAGAAAACCTCCAGGAAAAGAAAAAAAAACCACTCTGATCAATAATCTCTTACACTAATTGATAGTTCTCACTGTCAAGAAGTTCTTCCTAGTGTGTATCTGTGTCCTTGAAACTTCATCACCTTAGTTCTAATCTTACTCCTTGGAGCAATTGAGAATAAATCTGAACCCTCAGCAATGTGACAGCCCTCCAGTAATTTGATGGCAACCCACCATGTTCCCTCTTAACTTTCTCTTTTGCAGGCTAAACATATCTAGGTCTTTTAGCCATTCCTTGTAAGACTTGGTTTCCAGAATGACAGAACAGAATAACAGAGTTGGAAGTTACCTTAGAGGTCTTCAAACTAACCCCCTGCTCAAACAGGAAACCTTATACCTTTCCAGACAAATGGTTGTCCAATATCTAAACTCCTCCAGTGTTGGAGCCTCTAACGTTTAATTAAACTTTTATTTTCCCAAGTATTTCATAATTTGCTTCTGCTTGCATTACTGGAAATGTTGTATGCTCATTTTACACTGAAGATATGGAAAAATGTTCCTCATAGAGATGTTTGTGGTTTTTATTTTCCTTTCTGCTGAAGACAAGTTCATATTTTGCATTTCCTCTCTCCAGCCACGACCCTGCATTCAGCTGAAATCAATCAACATGCAAGTAAAACCTGTGAAATTGCTTTGACGTGTACATTTTTCCCAGGAGAAACTATTTATAAATCTTTCAGATGCAGAAAATAATTGGACACGTCTCTGTTTTCTTGTTTCCATATCGTTTGAGTTTTGATTAAATATTCAAGGTCACTTAGGGATTCACTGTACATTCTATTTTCTTTTACCTGTAATCTCTGAAGATTTTTGACAAATACTGTGGTTTGTGGAGGATAGTCTTGTAGGTCAACCTTTCCCTGCTTGGTACTTTCCAGATACTTTGACATTGCAGTTCAGCTGGTTGAGTACTAATGGGAATCAAAATTCTAATAGACTTGAAAGACAACAGAATGGAGAAAGATCCTTTCCTTGGGGCAGGAAATCCAAGTGTCAGGATGCCTCTCCATTGTTTGAAGAGCTCTAGCAAGAAAGGGCAATAATCATCAGATAATTGTTTCTGTTATCCAGATACTTCTGCAATGTTTTGCTCTATTTAGCTGAAATCTGTTATTCTTGCTTAAAGATTCTCTGTTTTCTTGTATGGTCATTCATAGAATTACAGGATGTTTCTTCTGCCCTGGTATCTTTTCTTGATTGTAGTGTTTGATTGCCTATTTTATTCCTTGCTGCTAAATGAGATTTCTACTACTTTTCTGCCTTTAACTTTATCTTAGAGATACACGTTGTTGGACTGAGCTTCAATTATTCTATCTCTGAAATGTGCTGTTGGATGCACAGTTTGTTTGAGGAGAAGGCATAATCAGCTACATTATGTTTCCTTCTCAGGCCCATACTTTTGGTGTGTCCATTGTAGCATGTGAAGTATATATTAAATTGATTGAGGGTTTAGAAATGAAAGGGGAAGAACTGAAAGGTTTCTCTGACCCAGCCTTCTTCTGTTCCTACCCTTATATATCAAATTGTGCTATATATGTATTACAAATTAAGGTCCTTCATGTGTAGACATGGTGAGAGCTTGACATTTGAAATGGAACCTAATCATTGCCATAATTTTGAATTAGATTGTATATCCACCATGCGGGCGTACTTCATGCCCAGCATGTAATGATAACAATAAAACATTTCTAGGATTGCAAATTATACAGGAAGCTGGAAAAATAAAATGTGAGATATATAAGGATCCATACAACCTAATAACCCATATGCTGCCAGCCACACTATGATCACAGACAAAGTTCATTTCTCATTAACACATGCTGGGCATGAAACATACCACTGTAGACATACTACTAATTCAAAATTATGGCAATGCTTAGGCTCCATTTCAAATGTCAAGCTTTCACTACAGTTCCTACTTGATCATATAACACAAGTTATTCTTATGAGCTTCAAAACATAATTTTTCCTTCCTACTCATTCCTGTGGTTCTTCCTTGGTTGCTTTGTTACATTATTCATATATGTCTTTTGTGTCCTGTGGTGATCAAGTGATTGCTTCTCTTGTGAAATTGAATTATATTTGCTATATAAATTAGGAATATTCTATATCCATGATGGCATACCTATGGCACATGTGGTGACACAGGTGGCACATGGAGCCATATTGGTGGGCATGCGAGCATTGCCCTAACTCAGCTCCAGCGTGCATGCACGCACTGGCCATCTGATTTTTGGGCCTTCTGGGCCCACCGGAAGTCGAGAAACAGGCTGCTTCTGGCCTCCAGAAGGCCTTCAGGAAGGTGAGAAAGGCCATTTTTTGCTCTCCCCAGGTTCTAAAGGCTTTCTAGGAGCCTGGAGAGGGTGACAACAGCCTTCACCCCCACCCCCCCACCCCTCAGAGGCCCTCCAGAGGCCAGAAACAACCCGTTTCCCAACTTCTGGTGGGCCTGGAAGGCCCGTTTTTTGGAAACGGGCCATTTCCAGCCTCCGGAGGGCCTCCAGAGGGCTATGGGGAAGACCGTTTTCACTCTTCCCAGGCTCCAAGAAAGCCTCTGGAGCATAGGGAGGGCGAAAAACAGGCCTATTGGGCCCACCATGCCATCCCGTGCCAAAAGCAAGGGGAGCATGGGGAGGTTGTGTGCGCATGTGTGGGGTGCATTGCATTATGGGTGTGGGCACATGCGCGTGCTCCTTCCCATGCTCCCCCTGCTTTTGGCACGCGATAGCAAAAAGGTTAGCCATCACTGTTCTATATGTAATATGTGTGCTTTCATTCATACTTTTTTAAATTCTGTGTCCAATTGCAGTAGCACATAATGACCTTGACTGAATGCTTCACAAGCAAAATTAAAGGTAGAACACCTCCTAGAATTCCCTATAAATTAGTATAAATAGTGTAAATATCTGTAAAATTGGCAAGAAATTTTAAAAATGCAATCATATAAACTTTTCTTTCTGGACAAATAATTTCTGCTATATCTTTATAGGGTTTCCCTTCATGCTGTAGTAAATTTGAAAAAGGTCTATTCCTTGCGATATGATATGCTGGCATGTGGTCTTTTCACAGATATTAATGAATGCGTATCAGATACTCATACTTGCAAGAGAGGAGAACATTGTATCAATACAATTGGATCATTTACGTGTCTTCAACAACTCAGCTGCCAATCAGGATATGAATTTAGGGATGGTGAATGTGTTGGTAAGATTAGAATTTATTTTTGCATGAATAGCACTGCTTTTTCAAGCACTTTGTAAACTTATTTGTCAAAATCTTGACCTGAAGTACATACAGATTTTGAAGAAATGAAATTTAAAGTTATAGTTCAATTTATTGTTTTCGTGAAATTAAATGAATTATTTTGTGTAACCCCCCCCCCCCCAAAAAAAACACAACCTTGTAAAAGAAATGAATTGTTAAATAAAACAATATAAAGCAGTCTGTGATCCCAGAACAGGATTTACACAATTTATGGTTGTGAAAGAGATATTCCCCACAATATTGTGGTAGCAGTTGAATATTCATTGTTGACGCTTTGATAATAATACAGGGGAAAAACATTCACTCAATTTTAGCTTGTAATTTTGTTTGATATTTTCCAGACAAAGTAGAAAATGCATCTATTTACCTCATTGAGTACACGTTACCAAATTTTGGGAAGTACTGATTGCGCTTTTATAAATTTTCCATGCTTCCACTACAGAATTACTTTGTAATTATCAATTCTTATATAGCACAACAGGGATTGTAAATTCTTAGACATTAATTCAGAATACTCAAAACATTTGTGATACTATTCTCATAGTGTAAACAAAGAAGGAACGATCATAATAGCTACCTACTTGTTGCAATGCTTTCAATTGTCTTTGTATGCAAGAAGACCCAACTGGTGAGAGTGACTTACTTTGTTGAAAATTCAAGCTTTCTCAGGAAACAAAAATTGCTACCCCTTATTTAAGTTAACTCAATGGCCTGAATAAAGGCACAGCTAGGTAATTTTAGAATTAGACTTAATGGGTATTATCTCAATTGTGAAGCATACAATTAATGTTGTGTATATAAATTAACACACAGCCCACCCTGGAGAAAGACTGGTGGGGCCAATTACCTGTATGCTATTCCCTTCCATGTTTGATCAAACATTTTGAAGCAACAATGAGAAGAAATACTCAAATCTATTTTTTGCTACTTTAGATACTTGCAAATATTGTGGGATGGGTTTTTTTTAAAAAAGTATTTTAATCATTCCCAGCAGTGGGTACTGATTTTGTTTAGAGATGTTGAGAAGGTAGTTTGACCCCAAAGATAATGATTTTGTTACATTCACATTTTCCATACAAGTATTGGAATAATATAAGTATTATTAGAGGACAAAAGTTATATTTGAGAGTGGTCAGCATTCCAAAGCTTTTTTTAAAAAAATACATTTTGACAACTCTGACATACAGATTTCCTATGTGCAAGTAATCCTCATTTAGCAACTATCTCAGACAATGACCACTAATAGTGACAATGGGGGATGAAAAAAATAACTTTGTGACCAATCCTGCATTTATGATGTTCACAGGTGTTCAAAGCAAAGGAAAACTTGAAGTAAGAGCACAGTCACAGTTTCATTTAGCAACCATTTTGCTTAATGGCTTGAGTTGCCACTCCCAATTGTGGTTGCTAAATGATGACTAACTTATTTATAAGCATCCAGCAGTCATTTTTCATATCCTAGTTGATTTTAAGTCTATCATATTAAAAATGACACAGCAGGTTTCTGTGTGGTTTTCCAGTTAACTCCTGGACTCTGAGTCTGTAATAAGCAATCATTATATTATATTAAGCGATTTCTAATTATTTGCTGTCACATCCATGCTTTTGCTTCTGGTGTGTTGATATTGTCATATTAAACTATGATTGTGTGCGATCAAGTCAGCATCATTTCTCTACAACCCTACAGATGAATAATCCCCATGATGTTCTGTCCCTGAAAAGAAGAAGAGCTGGAAGATGGGTTGCTGATTAAATTAAAGACCAATAGCAATGTATTGATATTCAATCCACTGACATTAATGAGTGTATGAGTCAGGGGTGGATTCCACTTACCTTTACTACTGGTTCACAGTGGGTGTGAACTTCTGCGCATGAGCAGATCACCGATGATGACGTTGTGGTGGGTGGGCGGAGCCTCCCACCGGTTTTACTACCAGTTCTATAGAACCGGACAGAACCGTAAGCAACTCACCACTGATATGAGTGCACCTTTCACCATTGAATCCAATTGAATCCATCCATCTTGTTGCGGGTTGTCATCTTCTTGTTCCTTTTACCTTTCCTAGAATTAGAATCCTTCTAGAGAGCTATGCTCAAAGTAGGATCATTTGAGCTTGGATATTAAGTATAAAAGGGTATTTGTTCATCCTTTATTTTTTTAACCAAGGAGATCTGGAAATTTGAATAACAAACAAAAGAATTCAAGTATGACTAGTATTTAAGTGCAAAACGTATCTGACTTTGGATTTCTGCATCCACATTTGACTATAAATGTAGAAGGCTGGTTTCCTATTTTGTTTAATTCCCTTAAATGGATTGCATATAATTTTCCAGGGTTTTTACAGATCAGTATGGCAGATATTGTTTCCAAATGGAGTCAAGCTAGAAAATGAATGATTGCTGCCTTAAAGTATCTTACATTTACTATTAGATGTTAATAGCATCTTGCATTGTAGCATTGCTCTCTATAAACATTACACATGTACATGAATCAAAAGATGCCACAGGAGTATTAGAAATGGTATAGCTAAATTGTTTCATTTTGTTTTTTCAAAAGATATTGATGAATGTGAAAGAGGAACTCACAGCTGCAAGATAAACTTTGCATGTCAAAATACAAAAGGATCATTTTACTGTGAATCAAAGCAACGATGCATGGAAGGATTTTTACAAGATCCGGAGGGAAACTGTGTTGGTGAGTATTTCTATTCCTCAATTAATGAGTTCCAGATGCTATTCTATCACCTGCGGTACATTTAATTACATTCAGTCATCTTTAATGTTATACTGTTTTCCCACTCTTAAATTAATTTCCTTTTAAAATACAATAAACTAAAAAAATAAATATTAGATTTTTGAAATATTGCAATTTTAACTATGGGCTAAATAAGACCCTATCAGTCTGGAATTTATTGCACAATAAATCAAGACCAAATGAACAGGAAAGGAAGAACAGATGGAAAATGGGTTGCTGATTAAGTTAAAGACTGATAGCAATATATTAATATTTGTTAAGGATATTGTTGTTGTTATTCCACAGACATTAATGAATGTACATCACTTCCTGAGCCATGTAAGGCTGGATTCAATTGCATCAATACTGTTGGGTCTTACACTTGTCAGAAGAATCTCTTAATATGCAGCAGGGGATATCATTCAAGTGAAGATGGAACCAGATGTGTTGGTAAGAGTCAGATTAAAGAACCTGTCTGTAGATACGGTTAGATTAACCATCTCTCTTTAATCTCATTTTCAAAGATACATTTCTGTAAACATGCATGTTCTGAATTCCAATCTACACATAAAAGCATCTGTTGCAAATCTTTGTGGTGCTGGTGGAGGTACATTCAATGTTCTATGGCTTGCAATGGATGGCCTTAGTTGCCATCCGAAAGAAATTGAGTTATATACAGTGCCTACCTGCTAATCTTAAAATAGACCTCAACAGGTGAGAAACACAAGTCTGCCAAATTCTTGGCAGTGAACAGCGTTACTGATTGCTGTTGCTTTTCACTAGGCAGTGTTATTCATCAGGAAATGTTGACATTTATACTAGTGTTTGCCAAAATAATTACTCTTGTCCTTGTTAATGCCAACAAGGGAAATAAAATCTAAAATAATTATTTTGTATGAATTAATATAAGACACATACATGCATCAATAGTATAGATGTTTTAGTGATTCATGCTTCTTCTGTTCCTTGTGATTTCTAAAAACTGAAGCAAGCATAACTCAGTCATACACTGGATAATGGAAAATGCCCTTTTATGGAACAGTAAATTTTATTATAGAACACAGAGAATGGGAATAAAATAAAAGGTTTTTTTTTAAAATGGATGTATATAAAAAGGTCATTGAGGAACATGGACTCCAAATCATATATGAACAATGAGAGATAAACTTCACAAGTAACATAAAGTGAATATGGTGTGTTCCAAAACAATCGTTTTAAACAATGATAGGAGACATTAGCATGAAAACAAGATTTGGTGCAATTCATTTTACAGTGAAGTACACTGGGACAAAAAGCTATCTATGTGTATTTGTAAACATTAAATCTTTCCTCATTAGTCTGTTTCCTTAGATCATTCTGCAATTCTCTAGTGCAGGGCTGTCAAACTTGCATCGTCACGTGTTGTCATGTGATTTATCGTGACTTTCTCCTTTACTAAACTGGGTTTGGGCGTGGCCAGTGCGTGATGCATTCGGCCCGTGGGCTGCTCTAGTGCTTCAATATCTTTCTGGAGATACTGTTTGTGACAGAACTTTACACAATCTTTCAAATATGGACACACCACACACTTAAATAAAACTATTAATAATGTGTGAATAATTTCCAATTTAGGATTTGTTTTTTCATCATATTCATCCAATGGAGTAGTATCAACTACAATATTGAAACTCCTTTCTTCAGCTCAGATCCATATCCACATTTGGAACAGTTTGTATTGTTCTGTTCATTGCTTCTTCTTTCCCGTCCTTTTTTTGCATATTTTTAAAAATTTCATTATAAGATAAAAGTATAGATGAAACAAAAGGTTTAAAAAGGAAAGAGAAAGATGCAAAGAGAGAAGAAAAAAATGATGACTTCTGTCTTTCTTCGGTGCAACAGAAGTAATACAATACTAACCTTTTGCTTTACATTTCACATTTTAAGCCATTTCTATAAACTCCATCACCTTTACCATCTATTCTTCCATTGTGGGAACTAGTGTATCTTTCCATTTGGTGCAAATAAAATTCTCACTGTTGTCAATTTATATAGTAATAATGTTCCCGATTTTCTTTTCAATCCATCAAACTTAAAAGGAAAACTTTTGCTTTCAGTTTTACATTTATCTTAAGAATCTGATGAAATAAAGTAGAAATCTGATCTCAGTAGTTCTTGGCTATATATCAAGTCCATCAGAGATTATTAAAAACTACTCTCTTTGTAGTTCATTTCTAACGCACATTTGAAATTTCCTTATGCATTTTTGATAATTTGTCTGGTTTTAAATACCAATGGCATCGTCTTATAGAAGTTTTCCTTCAAATTATAATTCAGTGTGAATTTTAACACATTAGAGTACATCTTTTTCCATTGGCTGATCATTATACTTTAACCAAAGTTCTTTGCTCATTGGATCATACAGTCTCTATCATGTTGGATATCCATTTGTCTGAAGTGGTGTAGGGTTTCCTACCTGGGCTGGGGGTTGGACTAGAAGACCTCCAAGGTCCCTTTCAATTCTGTTATTCTATTTCTATATTCATTCCCTCCCTCCACCCCACTTTAAATGAGCAATTCCAAGAAATGAAAATAATCAATAAACTGGACAAACTGTCTAAAATAATAGAAATAAAATTATGCATGATTTAGAAAAAATAGATATTCCTTCTTTATATCTCTGAAAAGCAGGTTTATCTAATAGTTAGATCAAGTTATATTTAGGCTAGAGAAAAGAAGGTGCTTCTTTACACTGTCTCAACCTACAAAAGTCTCAGCTTTAGAACAAGATTAGTCAGATTCATCTGATCCTAAAACTCTTGTGCCTATTTGATTGTTTGTAACCCTGAATTGGGTGAAATGATGTATCATATCATAGGGAACAATTTTTGCTAAAATCAATTAGCTTACAGAATGCATCCAAAATCCAGGACTGAACTGAAATTGGGCAAAACTGTGGCTGTTTCAGTGCTGGAAATTGCTAGGGCTTCAAATTCAAATGTAATCTCATTAAATTAAATGAATGAATAAAAGCTATTTGGTATTCTATTAAATCCCTCAGTGAATATTGATTAGGCAGTAGTGATGGTGGTTTAATGCAAGTAGAAAAAGTATACGACATAATTTGTATGTAATAAATCATATAGCTTTCTTCAATGGTTGATGTTGGGTTTTAAACAGCAGTTCAGTTGAGTAATAACAATGTGTTATTTTGGGAGAGTCTTGACTTAAAGGGAAATTAAGAACAGCTTGGCCAACCATCATTAACCAGTCTAGGAATAGAACAGTGCTTTGAAAAATATCTCTGCTATACTAAAGTAGTGGAATGCTGATGTTGGTGTGAAATTCTTCATCTTGCTCATTTACCCTATCAACTACCTAATTTGGTTAGCACTAGTAAGACTTCTTTAGAAACTTTCGAACTTATAGAAATTAGAGATTTGTTGTATCTAGAAACGTCATAGTTCATTGTAATATTAGTAATGAAAACATTGTGCCTCTGGCCTTGTAAGTATACTCCTATGCTTAGACTTTAAGCACTCTAATGCTTTTATATGTGTCTGTGTCTGTGTTAATAGAGTGAAAGCATAAGTCACCAAATAAAAAGTCATTGTGGTTCTATTTTTTTTTTCTTTTGCAAGAAAGAATACAATGGATAATTAAATTTTAGATTGGATAAACTTATGGGTCTAGAAATAGATCATTGGGACAGGTTATGCAGAATAATGGAATTGTGGTTGCTTCTTTTTGCTTAGAGAATTCTCAACAAATTTATTCTTTTTAATACAATAGAGTGGTTAGCAGCAGTTTCTTCCAACATTTAGCTGGAAAACACTGTAACTGTCATGAAATGGGATGCTCTTTTGACAGAATAATGTACTGAAAGTAATTAAAAGCAGAAGTGATTGGAATGCACAATTTCAGAGAAAACTAATCAAAGACTTGAACAAATGAATTAAAGGCAACTTATGTTGTTAATTGGCAGATTTAAATCATTATTAAAATTAACATTTTAATGCTTGCTGTAAAGTGAACAGAGATGCAAAGACATGGTGCTTTAATTTTTAAAAAGTCACTTTTAGATTCAAGATATATTGCTAGGCTCATTGAAAATAAGAGTGATTAAACATAGATTAAAAGAGAATCTTTCTAACCAAACTCAGGTTTTGTAAATTTATAGTACTATACAGTGGTGGGTTGCCCCTGGTTCGGACCGGTTCTATAGAACCGGTAGTAAAATCAGCGGGAGGCTCCACCCACTGACCCTAACGTCACCAGAAGTGATCTGCGCATGCGCAGAAGCAAGGTGCATGTGTGAGCGAAGCGAGTACGTGTGCACGGTCCCGTTGCAAACTGGTAGTAAAGGTAAGTAGAATCCATCCCTGGTACTATAGATGTATATGCCATTTATTTATAGTATTAGCCATAAAAATGGTATTTGAAATTTATTTATTTATCTCCAAATAAAGTTGTCTACAAGTAAATCCAAGGATCCCAAAGGTTATAAAAATTATTATCCATGCTCACGATATTATATGCTACTGCCTAGTGGGATGCTAACACCTGTACTGAGAGCCAATATTATATAGTAGTTAAGATATTAGACTGGAATGGAGGTCATATGAATTCAAGTATACTTCACCATGGAAATCTACTGAGTAGAATTAGCTCTGTCTTTTCCAGTTCAATTTATTTCATATGATTGCTATTGCAACCAGTAAAAATAGGAGAAGGAAGTGCTATATACCTTACCTTTAGTTCTTGAACGAAAAGCCAGATGTAAATTAATCAATCAATCAAACAAACAAACAAACAGTAAATTAATTTTAAAAATGTAAGGTATTTGTTGGGCACATGTGAATGGATGAAAAGTATTATCAGTCCTCAGAGTACATGACAATTGCTTGATTGGTATGGAAAGAGATCAAAGAAAGATTTCAATTTGTAATGAAATTTAACTCCGCCTTTATTATTTTACATAACTGAATTTGTTGCCTATTATCTGAAAATGCTGGTTTAATAACAGAACAGAATAATAGAATAACAGAGCTGGAAGGGCATTGGAGTTCTTTTAGTCCAACTCCCTGCTCAAACAGGAAGCCCTATACCATTTCAGACAAATTGTTGTTCAGTCTCTTCTTAAAAACTTCCAGTATTGGAGGACCCAAAACATCCACGGATTAATTGTTCCAACTATTAGGAATTTTTTCTTAGTTCTAGGTTAGTTCTAGGAGAACTAAGTTCTAGATCTTAGTTCTCTCCGTGATTACTTTCCATCCATTGCTTCTTGCCTGTGCTGAGGACATTCCAAACAATTTAGGAGGATTAAGAATGTAGCTGTTTCTGTATTCAATATATGGTCAAGAAAAAAATTAAAAGGAAACTAATGTTCGTTTGGATCCAAAATAGAGTGCTCGCCAAGGCTTTGCAACTTGAATTTCTATTTTATTTTAAATTATAGGGTTTGTCTGTGAGAACCGCAGAGCTGCAGGAGGCCAGCTTTGGCAAAGGGAATTGTAATCACTAATCACCGTACCTGCAGTTTCTGGGAAAAATTAACCCACTTCTGCTCCTGCTGCATGCTCAGGCTGCAAGCATTTTCATTCCACACATTTGCTGAAAATTGTGATACAAAAGGAGAGTGGCCATCAACTGGCTCATGGTGGTTAGAGTAATTGCTACTTTTTGCTTCTATAGATGTTGATGAATGTCAGTCTGCCACACACCGCTGTGGAGAAGGACAGATTTGTCACAATCTACCTGGAGCCTACCGCTGTGATTGCAAGATGGGATATCAGTATGATTCATTCAGCAGAACTTGCATTGGTAAGTATGACACAGGGGAATTGGTATTGCTGATTGTTGAAATATGGACCCTCTGGTCCGATTTTATACGCTATTGATTTCAGCATAAGTATTAATTCCACTGTACTAAAGCTCAAGTAAGATAGCATGATTGCTTCTGAAGTACCCTTCATTCACATGGACTAATTTGTCTGTTTGATAATTACATGCTCCATTTTTATTTCAAGTATAGCAATAGATTGAAATTAACCTAAGCCAGTACTTATTGATGAGCTAAAAAGGATCCAGCTCTCTGTTTTGCTAAGTATCTGCACACTTGCAAAGAAAATAGGTCCTGAGTGATTTGGATGCTAGGTAATAATCTACCAGCTATTCAATTTCTGAGTTGATGCTATAATCCAGTCAGTGCAAGTAGGTGCTATAGTCTCCTTATGACACATTTCAAGTCATTTAATTAGACAAAAATGAATGGCAGATTGTTGTAAAACTTTGCGCACACTCACTCACACACACTCACACAGTATAATTGTTTAAGCTTAGCTTGGAAGGTTGCCTGGAATGAGAAAGAATGGTATGAACATTTCTTCCCTTCCCCAGCTTTCTTCCCCAAGGTAGCATTGAAGTCAAAATGAGTTTTGAAAAAGATGACCATGGAGATATGCTTGAAGATTTTGACCTTTGCAAATTCCTATACACAATGCATGTTATAGATTATACCTCGCTACAAGAACTTCTGGATGTTATAAATAAGTGAATGAAACTGGCAATCTCAGAAACAATCAGCCAGTTTGTGTTCCTTTGAGATTCCAATTTCAGAAAATTAGAAGAAGGGAGGGCAGAGCACTCTTACTTTGCAGAATTGCTTGTAAACCTCTAGATCACTATAATGATAATCTCCCCTCCTGGTCTGTTTCTACTCCAGGTTGGCTATGCTCTGGATTCTAAATGATTTCAGCTGAAGCAGAATATCTAAGAGAACTGATTTATTCACATTTATCATGATTGGGAAAATGTACATGAATGGAATCTTAAGAATGCTGATTTGGAACAAAAAGATTTAAAGGTTGTGAGGCTTAGAGTCTGGAAGAAAAAACAGAGAGAGGAGTTGGAGCTTACATAGCTTCAGGATGCTGAGCCAAAGAATGTCTTCTAACAGTAGTACAAGTAGATTGACATTGCTGGGACAGGGCTTTGATGGGATAGAAATTGTAAGAGATTGACAGTTGAAAAAGGAGATTGTGTACCTAACTTTAGCTAATGAATTACCTTGCTTACCAAAAAATTAAAATTCATGAACTGTCAGTCTAAAATTCTCTAATTATAGAGAAAAAAGAATATGACATTGACAGAGATATGCAAGCTCCATTGCCAAAGTAACAAGGCCTAAAACTTACTTTAAGTCCACAACAGTCAGATAATACTGAGAAGCAACTCAGATAGATGCTTCCCTAAAGTATAAGTAGGAAGAGGAGTCATCAGACTTGCATGAAAGTAATTTTAATGTTCCTGTGCAATTCATTTCTTGGTCTGGTCCTATCTAATAGGACACATCCTATTGGTATAACTCAAGGGTCTACAACCTTAAACACTCAAAGAGCCATTTGGACTTGTTTCCCACAGAAAAGAAAACACCGGGAGCCACAAAACCCTTTTGACTGACTATTTCTTGAGCGGCCACAAAACTAGCATATGTAGTTGAATTAAATGTTCTGTTTTCTTCTGAAACTTTTCTTTTCTTGGATTTATCCATGGTTGGTCTACCGGGGGTTGAATAGCTAAATAAATCATATGCCAGCAGTGTCGCACATTGGCAGTTGTTTGAGTGACAGGGAGCCACAGCAGAGGGGTGAAAGAGCCACATGTGGCTCCAGAGCCGCAGGTTGCTGACCCCTGATATAACTTCATATTCTGGAGGTTTCCAAAACCATTCTATGTGCTATAAGTGATTTGGTAAGTCAAAAACATAGAATATAAATGTAGAAAATTTTGCAAAAATGAAGTGGTAGTTTCTTTGATAAGGTGGTAGCTGCATTTCTATACTTCTTTATTTCACTATACTGATAAGCAAAAAAAGTAAGGAAATGTAAACATCCAAGATGGAAATAATTACACAAATCTTCCTCTAACACCTTTGCCCTTTTACTGCCTTGCAATTTCCCAGGTGTATTTTATGGTTATCAGTTTTGTTTTTGTTTTGCAATAGACATAAATGAATGCTGGAATTATCCAGGCCGACTCTGCCAGCATTCGTGTGAAAACACTCCTGGATCCTATCACTGCTCATGTTCTTCTGGATTTCGCTTGGCTTATGACGGGAAACATTGTGAAGGTATTTGTAGATGAAGCTATCTCAAAAAAAAAAAAAAAAAGTCAGTGGAGCTGGATTGCACAGTGATAAATGTCTTGCAGAAATCAACACATTTCTAAATGCAGGTTTTGAAATCCTTATGCTTTCTTTTATATTATTCTATCCTTTACTTGTCACAATTAGCATCCCAGTTTTCCAATGTATAATATATAATATACAGTAGATACAGTGGTGGGTTCCTCCCAGTTCGGTCCAGTTTGGCCGAGCTGGTAGCGGTGATGATATGACGTCACCGAACTGGTTCTCCCCCCCTGCCCTCCCACCCCCCCACCCACCTACGTTATTCTTACCTTTTATTTGGTCCCACCCCCAATCTATTACTGCCTCCTGAGTCCCAGCTGATGACTAGAGAGAAAAAAACTGTTTAAAGTCTTGCCGCGGGGCTTTAGAGGGCCGTCCTACAGCTGATCAGTGTTAAAAGCAAACAAATGAGTCGGGTCGTAAGTGCGAGGACTGGTCGTAAGTACGAGGACCTTCCAGAAATTACTCTGACCAGCTAACCACGCCCACCTAGTCACATGACCTCCAAGCCACACCCACAAAATAAGCCACGCCCACAGAACCGGTTGTAAAAAAAATTAGAACCCACCCCTGAGTAGATAGATAGATAGATAGATAGATAGATAGATAGATAGATAGATAGATAGATAGATAGATGATAGTATAGTATAATATAATATAAAATGAAACCCTGCCATAACTGCCATTGGGTCCTTTTTTCATGTATTTGTATTTCACTGAAAATGAATAACTATAGTCTAATTTAACTTGCATTACAGTCAATTGTTTTCAATAACATTACAATGATACAATGAATTGTGTTATAACTGTTATAACTGTTAAGTCAAAGGTGGAGAATGAGAGGCCCAGGTCTATGTGCAGACTGTTAGCATTTGTTTGGGTCCTAGAGCCTCTTTTTCCTGTACTGCAATGCCATATTGACAGCATCACCCGCTAATCTATTTGCTCGTAGACAAAGTGCAAGTAGCTTTTGAATAGACATTAGACTTGGCAGCCATTAAGTGAGAATTGTCTGTACTTTGCATATGTTTATATGTAAAGTTTAAGACTTTCAGTGAAACTTAAACTTCCTGAAAACGTCCTGGCTCCATCTCTTTCTGGATTGTGTGATACAACTTTCTATAAACCTCAAGATCACCTATGACTTTCAAATGCTTATTAATATTATCTAAATTTAGTAATTTAGTATTTTAATCAAATATATTTCCTGCATGTATAAACCACCGTCCATCATACTGTATCTTCAGGCTTAAACATGCTCCATGTTTGTTTTTTTAAAAAGGCAATCAATTTAGTTAAGGGATTTTTCTCTTCAATGACAGATATGTGGCAGCAACTGATTTTAATGTCTCTTTGATACTCATTTTTCAACACAGATGTCAATGAATGTGACAATAATCCATGCAGTCAAGAATGTGCTAATATTTATGGTTCCTATCAGTGTTACTGCAGGCAAGGCTACCAATTAGCAGAAGACAGCCATTCCTGTAAAGGTACATCCGATTTGTTCCATTGTGGTACTAGTGTACATTTCTCTGGGACAATGAAACCATTGCCCTCACATGTTTGCTAATGTACCAATTCCAGATATTGATGAATGTGCCCAAAGTGCAGGCATCCTGTGTACTTTCCGCTGTCTCAATGTGCCAGGGAGTTATCAATGCGCTTGTCCCGATCAAGGATATACAATGGCCGCCAACGGAAGGACTTGTCGAGGTAAGAATGAGATTGCAGAATGGAGAAAATGGTTTCTTGCCATTAGGTCATGATGAATCGACCTAATTTTCATTTACCATCACTGTATGTGAATAAAATCTTCATTTTTTAAAAAAATGCAATAAAGGATAGGAACTTAAACATGAAGTAGGAAAGTGTGTGTAAATGAACTTTGCATATACAGACAAAGTATTGGGGATAATCACTTATTTAAAAGTACATATGTTAGGTGAAAAATGTTGAAATACAATTTTAGGGAATCTTCTATCTATAGCATCATAAAAGTGCATGTATTGGAAATTGTGTACAAAAATACATGTAGAAGTTAATGCAGACATTTAAAAATGTACACCTAAAATTGTTCAGCAATGGAATCAAAAGATTGGGAAAATGATAAACTTAAAAAATTAAACTTATGTAGATTTTTCTGTAGAAAAATACTATTATCTGGGTAATTGTTTCACAGTATTTATTATAATTATTAAAATTGCAATAAAAGCGAACACAGTGACTCAGTGGCAGTCCTTGAAAATAAGTATCTAGGTAGAGATGCAATCCCCCCCTCCAACTTCGGCTTATTAGGGGATGAATGTGATTCTCCCCTAGCAGGATAGATGGTTGTAGAAGCCAAAAAGATTTAGGGTGAAGAAGAACTGAGTCAGCATTTTCATCATTGCTTTTTGTTGCCTTACTGGAAGAAATGTAATTGGTCAAATCGAGACCATATTAGCCAAATGTTGAAATAAAGTTTTGTAAGTTCATTATTCCTTTAATTTGGTATCAATACATGTGGGAGTCAGCTAGTATCAATTCCCAACACAGATCAGTTTTTATATAGTATAAAGTCAGTCCGAGGTGCTACTCCATAAAGGAGATCACTGGTGCTTGTCTCTGATACTTTTTCAAATAATATTATATGATGTAAGGAACAGATTTAAGTCTAGGTAATAGGCAAATTGGGGGCTTTTGCCTCCAAATCATACCTCATATATGGTATTCCTTATATAGCCCTGACAGACTGCCTTGGTGCTTCCCCTGGCCTGCTCTTCCAATACTACCTATGATGTTGGCACTTTGGTGGGGATACAACAGCCTTGCAATCCCTTTGCACTTACTCAAAAGAAAAAAAAGGGGGAGGGATATCTCCAGTCAGTGGTGGGATTCAACCGGTTCGCACCACTTCGGCCAAACCAGTTGTTAAATTGCTGACTGGCCCCTCCTGTCCCCATTCTGCCCCTTCCAGAAGTCCCCATGTGCCCCATTTTGGCTCCCAGGTAAGTGCAGGGAGGCCTACTAAACCCAAAATGGGGTGTGGGGGGGTGGCACGGGCCCCCCATGGTCCATTTTAGTTCCCAGGAGGCTGCAGGAAGGCCTACTAGACCCAAAACTGGGCACGGGGGGGTTGCGGCACAGCCCCCCTGCGGCCTGTTTTTGCTCCCAGGGGGGTGCAGGAGGCTGAGTGCTGCCTCTGGCCATGCCCACCATGGTCACGCCCACCCACCCAGTCATTAGGGTAGAGAACCAGTTGTTAAATTATCCCACCACTGGATATCTCCCAGTTTCCCATTCACCCTTTTGCTTCTTCTATGGTGGCACTAGATTTACAATCATTAGGGATTCAGATTCTCTATTCATATGGTATCCTATATCTTGGCTCCTATTCAGCTTTGAAAAGCAGAGGGGAAAAACTTGTAGAAATTATAATTATTAAAGAGGGGAGACAAAAGTAGCACCCAAGGTTTACCAACCAAGAGCAACTTCCATTTGCATTACAATCAAGACTAATATATGAATTATTTGAGTTAACCACTGAAAAGTTTTCTTTGGTACTGGATTTCAATAAATAATCCAAACAAAAATGCTGTTTCTCAATTTTCAAATCATTTCCTTACTAGTGATCAGTATCTTAAAGAATCATACACATTTTTGTGTGCCAAAACAGCAATAATGGAGATATATCTCTTTAAGGCTGCTTGGGTAATTCTATAAAGGATCTATGTTGAGATCTATATATTACACGATGATCTATATATTACATGATGGCTTCTAGTGTGAATCATATCACTTGCCCATTCATGCTACCTTCCCCAACATGGTACTCTTCAGGATGCTTGGAATTCCCAGTCTGACCAGTATTGCAGTGGCTGGCGCATGTGAAATTATATTCCCCAACAATACATTTGAGATATCAAATCAATTGCTCATGTGTCCTAGTGGCACATCAAGGCTGGGGTTTTGTTTTGACTAAAATGCTTACCTATACTGTTGGTAGCTGTAGTCACTTTCTTCCTCCCTCAGAGACCTGCTTGTACACATGCTACCCAACAGTTGTGGTATTGTAACTGCCCACTGGCTATCCATGTGTGTCTCAAGATATAGGATATCATATGAATAAAGAATCTGCATCCCTAATTATTGTAAATCTAGTGCCACCATAGAAGAAGCAAAAGGGTGAATGGGAGACTGGGAGATATTTCATGATCAATTCTGAGGTTCTATGGAGACAATGAGTACATTAATTTATGTATTAGGGAATTTTGGCATATATTATTTGCGACATTTAAATGCTGTACCATTTGTGGCCTTGGGAAATCTTGAACCTGGGACAGGATTGGGAAAATATATCTTACACCCCTAATATATATAACAAAAAGTATTATATATACCAGGAAAAAATCTTTGCTTTTCTCCCTTTCCATTTCCTTCAGGGCCATTTTATGCCTTAGTGAATTAGAACTACCATAGTACAACACTATCATATTATGTTATGGATTGTTGTTTTCAAAACTCTGTGGTAACGCTTCAGAGAGTAGTAAATCTTTTTGTAACATCAAATTCCATGTGGGAACAATTTACCTTTTCACCTAATTTTATGAATCAATGAGGAGAGACTTAAATTATTTTAATTCATTTTTTTATTCCCCATATAATTTCTTATGCCTTTAAACAAGCCACACTCCATGCAAGAGTGCTGTTGATTTAGGAGACTGTCTTCTCTGGAAAAACTGGCAGATTTCACTCATGGATTGTATAGCCTTTATTTTAGTGGCAAACCTCTGAATGCTGTCTAGACATTTGAGGGTTTTGTTTTTTTTTAATGGCTAAAGAGTTAAGCCAGGATTTCCTTCCCTGTCTTTTGCAGTCATCACAAATCAACAAATGGCTATTTTGTTTTCTTGCTCTTCAAAGATTTTCTTGTAGGATTTTCCTTCTTATCTTAAGTATCCTATGTAGAAATAAATTATTGTATCCCTCAAACACAATGACACAACTAGAATTGATGAAATGCTGGCTTAAAACAAAAATCTGAAAGCCTCCCAACCATATAGAGAAGTATATATGAAACCATTTTATCAACATGCTTCCACAGCAGTTGGCGTTCCAGAAATGGGGAAATCAAGATATATTTAGGTCCATCCTTAAAAGCAATCCTATTCAGTCATGTAATTAAAAAGTCCTGCAGATTGCAGACAGAAATGGAAACTGATTTGTGTCTGCCTGCCTCCTGACGCTTCCACACAGAGCTTTGGTACTACTTCTGCAGGGACACATGTCCCATGTGATTGTACATTTTCATCTCCTTTTGAGAGTTGAGCTAACTCTTCTGGCTGTAGTGCTACAATTTGCAGCTTATGATTTGTGATGCTTGTAGTCTGCAGAAATTGGAAGAGTGCTACTTTTTGCCTTATCTTGCCTTACCCCATCTGCACTCAGAGATCTCCAGAAGATGTCACAGTTGAATTTATTAATTTATCCAGGCTTATTCTCTCTAGTAAACTTTGCAATGGTTTCATAATTCCTGCTTTAAAAAACCTGTTCATTTTAATATTTTCAGCTTAGGTAAGCATCATATACTGAACTATTTTCTTTATCTCACTTGCATGATCTGGGCTCAGGCAAACCCTTCTTCTTCACCCAAAAGTATACCATAGAGGTCCTACATAACAACTTACATCTATGAATGCATCTTTGGGGAAGAGCTCCTGGTTGCAAAAAAGCGATGCTAGGCTTTCAATGGGAATTTATATAAATAAATTAAAAAATATCCTCTTGACAGCTACCAAAACTTTCCCCTAATCAGAGGTTCTGGAGTTACCCAGAGAAATGCATATTAGATGTTCTGAAATGTGTTTGTATGGGTGGGATGAGGCAATTCATTTTCTCTCTTTCTATGTGAAATGAGGGGACATTTATGTCTATGAAGATTATCAATAATCCAAGTCATGATTGTCCCAAAGGTGCTTTTTCAAAAGGCGACTGGACTTTCTGGTTTTTCTTTGAAGACGTTTCGCTTCTCATCCAAGAAGCTTCTTCAGCTCTGACTGGAGAAGTCCACTTCATTCCCCACCATCCAGTCAGAGCTGAAGAAACTTCTTGGACGAGAAGTGAAACATCTTCAAAGAAAAACCAGAAAGTCCAGTTGCCTCTTGAAAAAGCACCTTTGGGACGAGGCGATATTTACTGCTCCTAAACCTGTAGAAATTTAGAGACCTGGGAACTATTTAAAAACAACAATAACAACATTCAGCTTGTTAATTGGAGGGGCTGTTGATTTGTCTTGTTTTTTTTTTAGCCAGCTGGGATTGCCTGTAGTGAAGACCAATATCATAGATAACTACAAAGTGCTTAAGAGGGACTGGGTCAGATGTGAAAATGCCTTTTTTCCTGACCCTTAACTATTTCACTTTATTTAGTGAAATTCAGTGTATTTAGTGAAAAACAACTTAGAATTATCAGAGGGTATGGCTTTTGTTCAGTCGAAATAGGAGTGTCCAATCTAACCCATACATCTCCTTAGACTTTCCTGGATACCAACAGAGAGAAGAAATCCTGTCTCAAATTTCCTACCCTGGCTATTTCTCTGACTTTGGACAGGAAAATTTAACTACGTTTATGATTCACGGCTATCCCAGAGATGATAGGAGTACAATCTTTGTGTGTGGAAAAAGTACTGGCTTGGAGTGGTCGGATTTATTTATTTGACTTCTTAATTGCTAAGTATTACCAAATACTGATATTAAGGTAACTCAGACAAGGTGCCTACATTCTTGCCTTAAGCAGTTTATAAAACGAGCCCATAACTTACAATCTGTTTAACTAATTTAACTGAAACCTTCAGCACGAGGTGAATGCATGCATTCTTTCTTTTTATTAATAGAAATGAGTCGTTATGATTGATTTTCCTACATGTAACTCAGTGGAGTTGGTATGATTTGTCCACTTGTGGAAGAAGAAGGATGCTACTAAATTGCCATTTTTGTGTGTGCTTCATCCTCAGATATTGATGAATGTGCAATGGGAACCCACAACTGTTCATCAGCAGAATCTTGCTATAATATTCAAGGCAACTTCCGATGCCTTTTAATTGAGTGTCCACCGAACTACAGAAAAGTGTCTGACATGTAAGTGTAATAATTGACCTTCAAATTCTTCTACATGGGAGCTAATTACATTAATACTCAGAGCTTTTAATAATTAATAATAGCCCTAGTTTCACTGGAAAAGAACTCATGGTAGACTTTCTCAATATCAAACATACATTTTACTTACATGAATACACGTTGTTGTGGCCCATCAGCGGCCAGTGCTGTTAGTAGCTAATTCTGACAGCAAGGAGGCTGGTGTGGTACTGCGCCAGCAGCCTGTATAGTTGGCACTCGAGTCAGACAGTGAGGAGGCTGGAGAAGATGTGGTGCCAGAGGCGGGGATTCAGCCAGGGCCTTCAGAACCTCCAGAAGCTCCCATAAGTGAAGAGGAAGAAGAGGAGGAGCCTCTTCTCGATGCACAAGCGTGCAGAGCTGTGAAAAGGCAGGAGTGGCTCCTCAGGAGGAGGTCTCCACGAGAGTAAGGCTTGGGGCTAATTGGCCACTCCCCTAGCCTATTTAAGGAAGGACAACGACTGATGCAATTTGCAGGAAACAACTTCGTTCACATTCCTTCGCGTCTTGATTCGGCTCTTGTTTTTATTTTATCAGTTTTCCTGCAAATTGCTTCTAGGCATTCTGCCAACCACAGTCAGATTACAGTTATCTGAAATATTGTGCCTCAGAATTTATTTATTATTCTTTGGATTCTTGTCAGCTGTTAATGAAGTTAAATTAACAGCCTTTGTTCAGAAAAGACTGATCTAAATTAGTAAACTAAGGTTTGTACAGACTTTGTGTGTGCTGTGTTCTTTGGGGTCCGTAGCTGGGGCAGAACACATGTACACACCAGTCTCATTTATACTTACTCCATGTACTCCCTACACCAGGGGTGAAATGCTCCCAGTTCGGACCGGATCGCCCGATCCAGTAGCGATGGTGGCGGGTGGTTCGGAGAACCAGTAACAAAAATGCTTGCGTTCCCCCCCACAAACACATGCCCAGCTGAGCGGTGCAATCATCAGAGGCTTTTTTCCTTACTTTTTAAAGCATTTTTTCTACAACCTCTTCCACTGAAAAAATGCTTTTAAAAGTTAAAAAAAAAAACCTCTGATGATTGCGCGGCTCAGCTGGGATCGTCAGAGCTTTTTAAAAGCATTTTTTTTTACAACCTCTTCAGCCAAAGAGGTTGTAGAAAAAAGTGTTTTTAAAAGCGTCTGACAATCCCAGCTGAGTTGCCTGATCGGCAGAGACTTTTAAAAGCATTCTTTTACAACCTCTTCGGCTGAAGAGGTTGTAGAAAAAATGCTTTTAAAAATAAAAAAAAAAATAAAAGTTGGCCACGCCCACCCAGTCACATTATCCCACCACCACCAAGCCACGGCCACAGAACAGGTAGTAACAAATTTTACATTTCACCACTGCCCTATGCTTATCCATATTCTTGCCTTTCCAAACTAAACTTCAGCAATTCCAGTAACAAAAATGTAATAAATATTACCATGAAAATTTTCTAGAAGCCTGTTTGCAGTCAGGCCATTACATTTGTATATCATAAAAGGCTTAGATAAAATTGAACTAGATACATTTAGTTATTCTGATAAACAGGCCACAGCCTCTTATGGCCATGGTTTCCTTTTCTTTTTTTTAAACAGTCTTAACCATTTTTTGATAGTTGAATTCCATGCTGATTTAAAAAAAAAAAAACGGGGGGGTGCTGTAAGAGCTATGACATTAAAAGCTATGCAGGTGCTCTAAGGGACAAAATGTGAAGGTAATTTTATCCCCAGGTGACTAGGAATGAATGAGGATCCAAGGCATGTTCCCATTACATGAAAGTTTTAGAAACAAATGGCATGGTATTCACAATAAATGATCTATGGATCTTATATTACTTCTCAGTTAATAAGAGAGAACATAGTCTTACAGAAAATGAGAAGCTGGAAAGTGACATTAGGGAGACACTGGGTGATCCATTTTTTCTAAATCAGAAAGTTACCAAATAACTAATGGGAGAATATCTTTGATATACGATGACCTTAAGGAAAAGGAAGAGGATGAACAGCACATTGGAGAAAGCAAGATTTAGGGCTAGAAGGCAAAAAAAAAAATGTTCTTCTTAACAGTATCGGCACCAGTGATGGGAGCAGGGAGAGAGCAAGGAGAGAGAAGGGTCCAAAGTTAAAAGGAGCAGAGAAGGAGGGACTGCAAACAATGAGTTTTTACTGGAGAAAATTATTTTTTGGAGGAAACCATGTATTCAGAGTGTAGAAAAAGACACAGAAATTCATCATCCAGAATTATGTGCAAGGAAAGCATTGCACAATTGCACAGTGGTTGGGATTTTCAGACATAGTTCATCTGATAGTAATCTACAACTTTTAAAAGAGGACCATCATTTCTCTCCACCCCTCTGAATGAGCCATTTAGAATTATGGTGGAAATATAATGGTGTTTTGTTTTTTTACTGTTTTGAAGGAGGCAAAAACTAAGGTTTCTGCCCTTTGGAACATCAGTCTGTCTAAGATTAGACTAATCCCAACCTCACTGGCCCTTTTAAGAATCTGGAAACTGGGTTTTGTAACCCTGAGTATGTGAGCAGGTCCATCCCTTGGTTTTGCTGATTGTTGTTTTTATGATATTATGTTGCTATGAGTTTTTATTTTTATATTGTATATTTTATCTGTTTATTGTAAGCTACAGTCACATATATGAGATGGGTGGCTATATAAATTGAATAAATAAACATTTAGAAAATCAGATATAATGTATAAAGGATATAAATGTTAATTCCTCAGTGAAACCTGAAAGCCACTTTTTGTTACATCTTAAGAAAACTTCACTTTATTTCCAGTTGCTGAAATTAAAAAAAAGAAATTGCTATTGTTACACAAATCTTTACCAGATAAGCACAGATCTTAGAATATCTGTTGTATGCCAGAGGTTATCCTAGCCTAGGAAAGTAGATGGATTCAATTTATAGAAGGTTAAGAGTACAAAAAGAAAAATTACTCAAATTATAGAACTATTCAATGACTTTATCTTATGAGAGCCATATAACTTAAACAGGATATAAGTACCTGGCTTTAAGAAAGTACCACTGATCCCCATAGAAATGAAGAAACCTTAATGGAGATCTTTTAGGTTTGCAAAGATGCGTGGTAATAAGGTAAAGAACGTGCAAAAAAAGGCTCAGGTCAAAACATAAAGATCAATACTCACATAATAAAAGCATTATTTGCAGAACCTGCTATCAATACAGCACTTTAATAAATTCTAGGAACAATAGGATCAGTACAGTGATGGGTTTCAATTTTTTTTCCTACTGGTTCTGTGGGCATGGCTAGCTTGGTGGGTGTGGCTTGGTGGTCATGTGACTGAGTGGGCATGGCCAACTTGACATCACTCACAGACACTCAGTCAAATGACCCTCCCACCCAGCCACGCCCACAGAAAAAGGTAGGAATTTTTTTTGAATTTCTACCTATCTACCTATTTTCTTCCCAGGCCTGGCCTAATCTATTAAAGGCCTCCTCCTGCATGCCTCCCCACCCTCCCTTCACCAGTTGCACACATCACCCCATTTCCCCTCCTTCAGCGGCTCCAGTCCTAGTCCTGCTTCCTCCCCCACCACCGCCTCTTTCTTCCGGATGCTTACCTTCCTCCTGCAGCAACTGGTCTGGAGTTCAGAAGGCAAGTTGCCAGGAAGCGGCTGGCAAAAAGGCAGCAGCACGGAGGCTTCTCGCAGTCGCATCAAAAAAGAAAAAGCCCCCTGCAGGCTGCCGAAAACTACCGGAGGTCACTGAAAAAGTCGCTGCCATTGCCGCTCTGTTCTTTGCACCAGCCACGCATGTACATCCCATTGCCTGCTATGTTGCTCTCAGACTAATGCAGCAAGCAATGGGATCCGTCAGTCTGAGCGCTACGCAGCAGGCAATGGGATGCGATGGTATGGCAGCGGCTTTTTCTTTTTCGATATGACTGTGAGTAGCCTCCTAGCCGCTGCCTCTTTGCCAGCCGCTTCCCGGCAGTTGTATGGGTGAGCGGCACAAGCGAACGGCGACCGGGCGACTGGTTCGGGAGCATGGCCAGCCAGTAGTTGCTACTGGTTCGGCGACCCAGGACAAATTACCACTACTGGTTCACCCGAGCTGGTGGAAACTGGTAGAAACCCACCACTGGATCAGTATTGATTATTTACTAGTATTTACAGGTACATTATTTACTATAACTTACATGCTGTCCATTTCCAGAATCAGACTAGCTTACTGTATTCAGGTCAGCAGTTTAAAAACAAAGAACATTTCTTACAATTATATCAGTTCAGGTCCACGTGCTACTCTTTTGTATTATGTTATTGATTCCTAAATGCCTCTCTGAAGAGCTGTGTTACAGCTCTGGGAATGTAGTGCTTACTTTACATGCACAACAGAGTACCATGAAGGAACCATCACCGCAACTTTCATAAGGTGGAAATGATGCTAACTTTGTAAGCAGGAGTTCCAGGGATTTCATGTGGCCTGATCAGAATACTGTGACTGGATGAATCTCACCGTTCATTTCCAGATTAACCTGTGCAGAGTAATTTTCTAAGCATTCCTTTAAATTCATTGCAGTTTCCAGGAGATGTTTTCAGGTTCATGACGTTTTGATAATTGGCTGTTACCTTGATAGTTGCATTGTCATAGTGAGGGTTATATAAGAATAGCAAGCAGCTGCTAATTGTACAGTCAGTAATATTCAACCCTGCCATGTATTGCTTAACACCAGAGACAGGTTTCCTGGAACTCTGCACGCTGTCCAAGAGCTGGCCTTCACAATCCCAGTTACTAATTCCTAAATATTTCCAATTTCTCTTCTCTCAGGAGATGTGAACGTATCAACTGCTTCAACTATTTGGATTGCCAAAACACTCCGCTCCGCATTACTTATTATCAGCTTAATTTCCAAACAAACATTGTTGTTCCAGCTCATATTTTCCGAATTGGTCCCTCGCCTGCTTATGCCGGAGACAACATAATCCTTACAATCAACAAAGGAAATGAAGAAAACTACTTCAATACCAGAAAGCTTAATTCCTATACCGGTATAGTGTATCTTCAGAGGCAAGTGAGGGAACCCAAAGACTTCTTCCTAGATGTTGAAATGAAGCTTTGGCGTCAAGGAACCTACACAACCTTTCTGGCCAAAATTTATATTTTTATTACATCTCATGCGTACTAAGATGGATGTATTACTGTTGAAGCTCATTGGTGCTATTTTTTTTTAAAAAAAAAATCTTTCCTGCCAAAGCTTGTGGTAATAGAGGAAAAAACTGATAGAAAAATATAACCTTTCGTATTTTTTCTAGCTCCTAAAATACCTTTGTTTTTGTACAATTAACTTAAAATGTATTCACCTGTTTCTCTTTTAACTCTGAAATGTTTATCTGACCAAAATAAGGTTGTTGAGCTTTGATGCAAATGTGTACAGTCGTTATGCTGTCCTTTAAAAGTTATTTTGATATTGCACCGATGACAACCTCAGAATTAGTTACCAAGGTTGGGGGCATGATCTAGCCAAACTTAAATAGTCCAGATAAGATGGATTTCAAAGGGAAAATAAATATGTAGCCGTTAAAATCAATTGTATTTAAAAGATGCTTAAGTGCAATTCAGTTGCGCTGATGAGAGGGCAGAAGGCCAATTCCCAGTCTTTAAAACAACTTAAAGAAAAGAAAAGAAATTGCATGTCAGACAGTGATTTTTTTTTCATTTAGTGACAATTACACAATGTAGTTTTAAAGAGACAAAAATCTTCCTTTGCTGAAGATGCCCATAATATGTGATGAGATCTTGCTGTGCCAGTCAAATTCTGTTCTTATCCCTCCATCCTTAGTGGAGGGATAAGAACAGTGACTTAGTGAATCAGATGTTGATCTGACCATGTGTTCCCCCTTCATTGATACCCCACCCAGTTAACTAAAGCTGTTGCCTCTTCTGTTTACGTTGGAAATTATGGCTGCAGTGCAGAGGAACAAATAAGTGACCAGGAATAAGTCTGACCAAACTTAATATGCATATAGGCCTCACAGTTAATTCACCTGAAAAAAATACCTCCTCATATAGTATTTATATAATCAAGATTTACTTTTCCCATATCTTAGCAAATGTCACTGTGAGACATTTCCATAGAGTTACCTTTCCATCTTATTCAAGGTTATTGGTGCTCTAATACCATAGGATGTGAAGGCTACCCCTTAACATCTGAGACTTGCTACTTGCTGTGCTTGTCGTGTAAATTCTTGGGACTGGCCATGCCAGGAGGTATAGATGTATATCCTCCTTTTTACTATGTTCATGCCAGCACTATAGGTAGACCTCAACTTACGACTATAATTGACCTCAACATTTCTGTTGCTGAGTGAGACATTTGTTCAGTGAGTTTTGCCCCATTTAACGACTTTTCTTGTCATACTTTTTAAGCGAATCACTGCAGATTTTAAATTAGTAAACTCGTTACTAATTTGCGCTTGTTAAGTGAATCTGGTTTCCCCATTGACTTTGCTTGTCAGAAGATGGCAAAAGATGGTCACATGACCCCAGGACACTGCAACCGTCATAAATATGAATCAGTTGCCAAACATCTGAATTTTGATCATGTGACCATGAGGATGACGCAATGCTCGTAAAGGTGAAAAATGGTCATAAATCACTTTTTTCAGTGTCCTTGTAACTTTGAACAGTCACTAATTGAGCTGTTGTAAGTCGAGGACTATCAGTATAAAACTGTTACTACACTTTGTTGGCCAATAAAATTGTTGCATAAATCTCTCATTGCTCCAAGAAATACATGAAGGCTGAACATCTATGTCAATGAATAACATAGAGCAGGGGTGTCAAACTCAAGCTGGAGGCTCCCAAGGGCCTTCTTAGCAAATGCTGAGTCCAGGGCCCTGTGCCTCATGATGGAGACATGTGGTTTTCTTGCTGTAGCAGCTTGCTTTCTGAAAGAAGCCTCATGAAAGATACATAGAGTAGGCGTCATCCTTTGAATCCAAACAAGTCCTGGCATTTAATTCCTTGGGTGTACTGGGCTAGCTTTAAAAGAATGGCTCTTCTTAGCCACTCAAGTTGCATAGTACTGATGCTACAAGCAACCAGATGACTGTTAGAGAGAATGTCAGACAGACCCTAACCCTAACCAATGTGATTATTTACTCAGAGTAATTTCTTTTTTTTTTATTGAAAAGTTTTACAAAAAGTTTACATATTCCCGCCCCCTTCCCTACCTCAACCTCCCCACTCCCCCCCTCCTCTTCCCAGAACAAATTACAGGGTATAAACTTCAACAATCATAATCAATCCTAGTCTAAACAATTATGACATCCCACATCTCTTGTTCCTTCAATTCCCTAATTACCCGCCTAGCTTTATTACTTAAAGACACACCAAATATCTATATAATCATTCATAACCTATCTGCAATTTCTTATTCCGATATTTATTTTGAATATAATCTATCCATCTTCTCCAGTCTCTTAAATATCTTTCATTTGAATGATCCTTCAAGTACGCCGAGATTTTTGCCATTTCCGATAGATTTGTAACTTTCATTGTCCACTCTTGGATTGTAGGTAAATCTTGTAGGTAAATCAGAGTAATTTCTTTATTGTTGCTCACCCATAGAAAGAATCTTGCCAGATTAAAGCACAATCTGCATAATTATCAGACATGCCCTGTAAATATCTAGGGAGGGTCCACTCTGGGCCTCCTCCTGCATACCAAGGATTCCAGGCTGATTTGCCTCTTAGCTCCTCCTGAAAGAACCCTTTCCCTCCAACAACTCTTTACCAGACTCTATCACATACAAGAGAACGAGAATGGGTGATGCGTCCTTTATGCTGCCATCTAGTAGTTCAGAGTTTGGCACTCCTTTGACCTCGCTTAAGGATTTTTTCCCCTCCCTTGTTATTCTATGCTGGGGAACCATGGCTGCCTGGAAGGAAAGAATAGCCATGCATTTAACTATTTTCCTATGCCTCTCAGGGGGATCCTTACCTCCAAAGGCCATAGTGAGGCATGTTGTATGCAAGTGTATCCGTCTGCGTAACTTGTTTTATAAATAGCAATTTCTATCTCCTTCTAGACAACTCTTCAAGATAGAAAACCCATATCTGATCTTGCCCTCAACACAGATGAACATCTCTTAAGTGGTCCATATTGTGATAGACCACAGGCACAATGAGCCTGTAACTTAAATCCCATTTATTTGGAAATTAGTCCCATTCAGTACAAACTGGAAATATTTCTGAATAATATAAAGCAGATTTGACCTGAGGGCCAAATCTGGCCCACGGGGTACTTAGATCTGGCAATCAGGGCTGTCCTGCCAACAGTGGAGGACTAGCTCATGGTGCCTCTGCCAGCGAAATCAGAGCTCGGGGGGGGGCGCACATGTCCTAACTCTACCCAGGTCTGTTTTCACTAGCAGAAAGCTGCAGGAGGCAGTTGCAGCTGAAAATGGACATCAAGCTGGCCACTCTCCCCGCCCCCCAGCCCTTAAGGTCAAACACAACCTTGATGCGGCCCTCAATGAAATTGAGTTTAACACCTCTGACATAGAGGATACTCTGTCATTCACCCACTGTTACATTTTTTTTCTTCCCCTTGAAAGTGATGCACACTTAACAGACAATCTTTAATTTAAAATTAAATAAGAACTTAACACCAAGAGGCACTTGGTGATCTACACTTAAAGTGAAGTAATTTCAGGTCAAAAGAAAACAATGGATGCACGGTGCTTTCTTGTTGAAATATAGCTTGCTAATTGGGGCATTTGCTTGGCTTGGTTTTTAAATTCTATTCTGAAGGGACACTTTATTTTCTAGGAATGTTAGATTCAGACAAGATGTATTATAATTTTTCAAGGAAATATCAAAGATGAACAATGCCAAACCAAGATACTAAAATGTTACAGTATTGAATACCTGATTGTATTGCATGGCTATCCAATTAAGATAAACTTGAAGTAGAGCGATAGGTATGTTTTCTATTTTTCTAGCTTGAATTGCCCAACAAAACTGGAAGAATATTTGGCAGTGTATGTAGACTATATCACATACTAATAACCCAATGCAAAATGTACATTTTTATATTGCTCTTACTCTATAAAAATAACTGAATGAGATTGAAATCTATAGCCCATATGAGCTAATAGATATCTTAATCAAAAGATTTGTAGAAATTTACAAATGAATAGTGATTGTTAAAAATAAATATTTGGGTTTTTTAGATAAAATAGTTTCTAGGATTCAGCTTCTATTCAAATATTCATTAACTTGGTTATGTAAAGCTAACTTTTAGCTGTTTGCTAAAAGCATAGCTACAACCCACATCTTCCTGTATTTGTATAGCTCCTATTTTTGGTATGATTGAAATCCTTTGGTATGTCTGAAATATTTTCCTAATTGTGAAGACAGTGCCTCCCTCCAACTGATCTTAACCTTTGATAGGTTTGGTCACCTCCATGGAATTTTCTTAGCAAGATAGAATCACAGCCACCTCTGCTTTATTTTAAAAAAAAATTCCAGTCTAATTCACATATTTTCTGGTGGCATCCTCTTCAAGAATTAATCAGGTCCCTGGTTCATGTTTTCCAAGATCCGTTAAGGTCAGCTTGATGCTGTACCTGGTGTGGCCCAGTGCAGGAGTGTCAAACTCGCATCATCACAGCAGCATCATGTGATGTAGCGCAACTTTTTTCCCCTTTGCTAAAATGGGCGTGGCCAGGGTGTGACGCATCCGGCCAGGAGGCCAGAAGTTTGACAGCCCTCCTATAGTGCATCTTAGATACTACGGCTCTTCCTAAGAATTGTTTTGTGACATATTGGAACATGCATGGGGCCCCACTTTTCAAATAATTACAGCAAGCACAACATTTGTAAGGCTTTGTAAGCATTTCTTGGGCTGTCTCCAGATGCAAAGTGGCCAAACAAAAATCTTAGCAGTGCATGAACAATTTGAAAAGAGGCGTGGTGCAGTGCTGTTGCACCTCTTTCAAAGACTTTTTCCAGCCCTCTGTACAATAAGTTGCTTCTTTTCAGCACTGTTGTGACTAAATGAATGGTTGTAAATCGAGGTCTATGTGTACACACAAGACATGCAGTACTCAAAACTGATTCTCATGAAATATCGTATGAGGCCCAAAAGAAGAGTTATCGTGAATTCAACTTAAATTCAGGAATTTCAAGTTGGTTACAGCAACCGTAGCATGTTTTTGCTTATAGCCCTGCTGTAACACAAAAATTGGTGTCTGTTAATATACTAGAAAAAGCATCCATCATTCATCCAGGATATTTCAGTGTTCAATATTGTTCGCACATTTCATAAAAGCACTGGTTTTATTGTCATTCTATAAGGTGCCAAAGGATCAATAAAATTATGAGGGGGCATTTGATTTCCAAAGGTAAATGTTACAATCTTTTTCCTCCAATCTTCAGACTTTTAAGTGTAGATAATTAAGAAAATGGAGCACTGTTTAATATGTATTATTTAGCATAGACCAGTGAACTCATGCAAAGGGAAATGAGTCCTTGGTACATTTTTAATGCATTTTGAACAAAAATAGGATGTTCAGCAACTTCTCCCCTCTGCAGGGCATTGGCCTATCCGTCTAAGTACTTGGGTCAAAGGAAGAAAAAGTGGTGAGAAAAAGAGGAAAGCCAACTCTCCCTTCTGTCTTGATCTGTGTAAAATCAGCAGCACACAAGAAATGGCAACACCTCCACAATGGTCTTTCTCCAAGACTCCATAGCACTGTTCTGCTTAGAAAATAGGAAAATGTTATTATAGCATGTGGCATTCATAAATTGGTGTCCTGGATTAAACTACCCTGAAGACACCAGTTGCTAAAGTGATACCATGTTTCCCTGAAAATAAGACCCTGTCTTATATTTTTTTGAACCCTGAAGTAAGCGCTTGGCCTTATTGCCATGCGCTGAAAAGCCCGATTGGGCTTATTATCAGGGGATGTCTTATTTTGGGAAGAACAGGGTAGTATTAGAAGAAAAAGGGAAACCAAGGTCTTATCATGAGTTTTTCCCTAGTAAGGTGTCTTTCAACCTCAAATAAATGAATAAAAAAAAATTAAAAAGGGAAGGTAAAGATTTCTTCAAACTTAGTTTGACACTTTGTGACTTCATGGTTATGTCCATCATATACAAACAAAACAAGTGATGTGCCATTGCCTTTCTTTTACTGTACATGTTGTTTCTCTCTTCTCATTCCGTTACGTTTTCATATTTAAAAGAATGTTTCTTTTAATGTCACTGCAATTTAAATGCATTAACTGTTGTCCTACCCACTGCTGCACCCAAGAACAACTCTGCTGTCTTCCATATGACAATATTTCAAATACTCTCCCTTGGTTCATGTTGAGCAATTTCTTTAAGCCACATCATTATAGACAATTCATATTTAACAATGCTCTTCTTAAAATATGAAATCCAGAACTGGACATAATAATCCTAAAGTGGCTTGGGAATAAAATAACAATTTCTCCCTATAATCTTGATACAAGGATTTTGTTAAAATGTGCTATAGCTTGAAGCCAAACTACATTTTTTTTGTAGCAGCATTCTACTTGTGGATTATAATTATCACAATAATACTGTCATTCACTAACCATACGCATGTTTATTGGGAAGTAAGCTCTATTAAATTTAATTGACCTTAATCCAAACTAAATGTGGAAAGGGATGCAGCCTAAGACGCCCAAATGTTTTGCACATGTGTTGCTGCCAAGCCAGCTCATTCTTAGATAATAATGCAGTTACTTTGCCTATAACATGATTAGCAAAGCACTTCCCTCTTCAGGCACGATCAGCTTTGCCATACTTTAATCCTCAGACCATGTTCAATTTTTTTTAAAAACAAAATGTCACAAGAAGACAGCTTTATTGTTCATTCTTCCATGCCTATCCATTTTTTATAGACAAGCCCTCTATGGTTTAATTGAAGCATGAGAACATGAAATGCCACATTAATTTTCAATTGTTATACCGCACATGGTTGCATTTTGATCTCACTAAATGGTAAACAACAAACTATGTGGCACTTACAGAAAAAGACCACTGCAGTGCTGTTTTCTGGTGTTTTCTGTTTTTTTTTTTAAAAAAGCTTATAGAAATTCACTGATTGTGCCTCATCCGATATGGATTTCTATTTGCTGTCACAAATACCCTAAGAACTTGATTTCTTATATTTTAACACTTGGTTTACATTTCATTGGTATTTTCCATTTGCTTATATTACAAATTCTTTTTAAGCAACACACAGTACAGCCTACGATCAGTTTCTACTATCTGGTCTCTTTTTTTATATTCCCAATCTCTATAAAGAGGATTTCTCGATTGCAGAACTGTGATTTTCACCTTTTCTTGAAACAGCCAAAATATCTCTAGAATGAAATGATTTTAAATCATTTCTGAGATTTTGAGTATTTTTAAAAGTAGTGTGGTTTTTCAAAATTCTTGCAGGATTTACCCCACTAGCACAATGTAGCTTTTCAGACTAGAAAGCAAAAAGTGTGTGTGTGTGTGTGTGTGTGTGTGTGGTTTGTTTGTTTGTTTATTTGCCAAGATTGTACTACAGTTCTGCAGAGCAATGGTCCAAACCAGAGGAAAGTAAATTCTTTTGGAGATCTTGGTACTTGCTGACCTTGATTTTCTTCTTGCAAATGTTTCATTATTAAAGCACTGACAACATTACATGGTTTGGTAATGAAATGTTTGAAACAAGAAAACCAAACTCAGGAAGCAGCAAGATCTCAACATTTCAACTCTACACTATATGCATTATCCATTATTTCCAAAGATAGGTTTGGAAGGAACTACAGACATACTGTATATTAAGTTGCATCCTAAAGTGGTCCAAAGTCCCTTTATATTTTTGGATCTGAAACACTGAATAGTCTCCGACTCACCATCAAATGGATTTGGGATCAAAGCTTTAATCTACTAATATTATGGCATTCAAGCAAACATTCCCTAAAGCTATCTAACTGAAACACAATTAAAAATGTAATTAAAATGTTTAAAATTCATAGTAACAAGAAGTATTCTCATCAGACCTACATCTGGGCCAATAAGCATACTTTGGTTTTTCTTAATTTATAGTATTTTTATCTTGCCCATTGGAAAGACTTTGAGCAGGATACAATAAATGTATCATTGCAGAATCAGTTAAGTATGTATTTATTCAACACATATGCCTCTTCTGCAATTCTTCTGAAGGAATAATTGTTCCATCTTCCCCTTCTTCACTGTCCAACGAAGATTTTCTATGGAATTATATTATTGCCAAGTAGAACTAATAGCAAGGAATATTGTTGGCTTCAAATGCTCTGCTAGATCTTTTCTATTGCATTTGTTTCATGTCTGATGTAGTTAAATTACTGGGGGCCAAATTAAAATTCCACCTACTTGATTGGTTGAAACCTTACAGTCCCAAGATGTGGATAGTTCGGCCTCTATTTTCAGCACTGTTCTTCTAAGGCACTTTGTTTGTAGAAGAGCTCATCAAAATTCAGTGGATCTGAATTTTTGCTGACCTTGTAGCTTTATCAAGGGAGCTTTATCCTCCCTCCGAAAAACCAGACTTTTCTTCCTTGAAGGCACCCATGAAGCTGGTGACTAGTAAATCATGAATTTTCATTGACTGCTTGGTAATTTGAATCTTCAGGCTCATCTGAAATTTCTTCCTGACATGTAGTGAATGGATCGTGTCATCCAGTCAATCTGGCAAGGGTATTTTTCTAGGGTATTTTTGTAAGTCCTTAAGTTACCAGGACATGGGAGGAGAACCAACTGTGATGCTTATTACAAGAACATCCTTTTACCTCATTAAATGAAGCTATATGACCCATCCATAAATAAAACTAACAAGTTCATTGAAGTTAAATTTTAAAAAGAAATTACATGACTTTTAGTAAAGAAATGCTAATCTACATAGCAAAACATGATACAATTTATAAAATTATAAAGAACTCTATACTTCAGGATTTGCATAAGTCCTGAAGTATAGATTTCATTATAAAAACAGACACTTTTACTCACCAAAATTGTGAGGGTGAGGAATGAGAAAAATGTTTCCTAGCTGGCAGCAATTTGGAGACTGATCCAGCTGAGAGATAACAGGAAGCCCTTTTTCCTTCCCAATCATTTGGGCCACTCTAGATTGACTTCAATAAAACATACCTGAAAGTAAAGAAAAGAAACAAGAAAGTCTAAAGTCATAAGCATCAACAGTTGGGTGGAAGACGCATGGGATGAAATATGTGTGTGGTGCAAATGTGGAGCTTCTTTGGTAATATTCCAACACATTCATACTTAGTATAGGTAGTCCTCAATTTACAACCATTCATTTAGTGAAGTCCAAAGTTACAACAGCACTGAAAAAAAGTGACACGGCAATTTTTCACACTTAACGACTATTGCAGCATCCCCATTGTCGTGTGATCCAATTTTGGATGCTTGGCAACTGGTTCACATTTTTGATGGCTGCAATGTCCCAGGGTTCATCTTTTGTGACCTTCTGACGAGCAAAGTCAATGGGGAAGCCATATTCACTTAACAACTGTTTTGCTAACTTAACAACTGCAATGATTCACTTAACAACTCTGGCAAGCAAGGTCCTAAAATGGAGCAAAACTCACTTAACAAATGTTTTACTTAGCAAAAGTAATTTGTGGTCGTAAATTGAGGACTACCTGTAGTTTATGTAATCTCATAGCAAACATCTCTGACTGCTAATTACTGTCTGATGAATAGATTGAGCAGATTGGAGAGTGGCTTTCTACTCAAGTGGAAACTTACTTAATGGTAAGGCCCTCACTGAAACAGAACCTGCAAACTGCAGCTGCTACACCCCAATATTACTCTAAAGGGGAAGCAGTGGGAGTTGGGAACGTTGCCAATATCCTGTGACCTTGAAACAAGTTGGTTTTGTTCCTATCAATGCACTGCTGATTTGTGCAAGGGTTGTTTTTCCCTATAATAAATACTGCCACCCACCGGTTTTTTTAAAAAAAACTTTGTCAAGCATTGTGTGACTCTTTTAGCACCCCAAGGCTTTGCCATTCTAACCACCACTGTTATGTTATTTGGGAATTGGAAAGGGAGAGAAATACAATGTGAAAAGGATGTGTCGGGAATGCCACACCAAGGTTTTCTCCTGAAAAGGATTCATTGAATAAATTCTCTCTCTTTGGGCGGGGCGGAGGAGGAGAGAGATGCAAGCTGCTGTTTACATGGAAAATCTGCTTTTGCAAGCTCTTTGCGTGGAGCAGAATCAGTGCGCTGTCTGCTTTGCTGCATTGAGAATCCAGAGGGGATGATCTCTGGTGGACAAAATCTGAAAGGTTTGTGCTCCAGCTGGGAAAAAAAAAATTCATTGATA